AGCCTTGAGTTTGGCATTATGGTCATCGATATGACAGTTTGTTGGAGCCAGCGGCTGTGACGTACTGCGAGTTGAGGTGCCTTCGCAGTTTTGACTCGTCCATAGCAGGAGACAATGGCAGCTGTCCTGGTCACACGCAATCTTGTATTACAGCTGTATAGTTCACTACTAATATGTTTCTGAAACAATTTTAGGTGAGAAATAGGCAACGCAGTGACAGAATCTTGATTCATATTTGATCAACACTGCATTGTTTGACAGTTTGATCTGAGTTTCATGCAGGGAGCTGCACGGACTCACGGAGTCAGTCACATGGCAACGCCCTAAAGCATACCCTGCTTAATTGTCTATTTATTAACATCATGCTGTTTCGAAGAAGACTTGAAACTAGCGACTGAGACCATAAACTCATTGGGAAACTGTTTACTGAACTCATAAATCAAGTGAGAAATCAACTCATTTCTCCATTAGACTGCATGCTATCGATGCGTTACTGCAGCATGTGGATCTTCCCCTGCTGGCCATTACATAGAATGCAGTTTTAAGACACTTCAGCGTTGGCTTCACTTCACAGACCCAGGAGCTCTGTCCATTATATACACTGTCGATGAGAAAAACATGAATATAAATCATATAGAAATACTTATGTCTCATCAGTGGAAAGAGTGTGGCACCTGGTCTTTTAGTCTGAACATTTTTATCATTAAATGATCATTTTCACCCCAAGACATTAGAAGTGAAACTACGGTTCCCACACTCAGAGTAAAAGCTGTTCTAATTTTAAAGATTTTAAAGTCAAAAGATAAGCAGATTCCCTTTTCCCTTTGACATCCCTTTAAGAGACTGAAAAGATAAATTTTGAGTCATTAGTGCTATTACTGTAAAAGAAAAAAAGACCATTACCAACGAGATTGGCAGCTTCTTCGCTGCATTTTACACGTTGTGGCTCCAGGTCAGATTTAGAGGAAAATCTGCTGGATTGCTTCGTTTTACAAAGCAGGAGGTGGGCGCAGTGAAATCATTCCTAATGTGTTTATCCTTTTCAGTGAAGCCACAGGCTCCCAGGAGGGGGGAGGTGAGAGATGCAGGAGGGTTTCAGAGGGAGATACTAAATATATCTGTAAGTGACGTGATCGTGTTTTTAAAAATGCCTCCTCGGTTCCACATGTTGTCCCGTTGGTGTTTGACGGACTTTTCTCCATCTTCTGTCACCTTTAATTCTCTTCAACCTTTCGCTGTAACTGAACACGCTCAGCTGTGACCTGCAGCAAGAGTCCAAAAATAAATCCCCACAGTCGCTCATTTGTTTAGAGTCGACATTTGCCTCCGGTTGACGAACATCAAAGAAAATGCTGAAGTGGTTTTGAGTAATAGTTTCTGGATCTGGTTTTATTTACTGAATATTTGAGCTGTTTATTTACCAACTAGCCCTTCTAGAAGTTATTTTGAACACCGTCAGAACTGTATTAAAACTCCCTTATTAGCTTTCTTGCCAAATTATATCCCTCTGTTTATTTTTTGCTGTTGCAATTTTCTGTGTTTTAATGATTTTAGAGCTCTTTTTGTTCACAAGAGTGACAAATAACATAAAATCTGCTACAAATCAGAATTAAATAGAAATGCTCATACGATCATAAAATTGTATATGCACATTTTCAAAAGATTAAATATTTCATCCAAGAAATAACCCAAATGGCACCTTAAAACGACCAAGGAGGTGTCTAAAACTATGAAAATAAATCTAAAACAATAATTTAATGAGACTAACACATCAAGACTGTTTTCACAAAAATAGACCAAATTTTAGCAATAAATTGCTAAAAGTCACAGGCATGTTTATATATTTATAATATAAAAGCTCTGTTAATTGTCTGATTATGTTTAAGCCATCGCATTGGCATTTAGAAAGCTGGTTCAGAGAGTTTTCACTATTTTCTAACATTTTACTCATTAGACCCTTAATGAAATTGTAGAGAAAATAACCAGCAGATTAATTATTCATGAAAATAAATGTTAGTAGTTGCAGCTCTAAAAGGTTCGTTGGAAGCTGAATGAAAGCTGGATACACCAGTAAATGTGAGATCAATTCATTATTCAAGAGGTTAATTCATTTCTTTCATGTTTAGTTGACCAATCAATATTCTATTTCATGTTTTTGGTTTTGTTTTGTATCACTTACAGAAAGGATTATTAGACTAACTCTAGGTTTTGTGGTGTTTTAGTAAAGATGAGTCATACTAAGAAACCATGGATTGATTAGTCCTTCAGGAGGATTTATCTGCTCCTCACAGTGCGGGAGAAAACATATTGACTTCGATATCTGCAGTAGACTCCGATACTGAAACTGAGTGAGGCTTATTGATGCCCTCGCTTACTGCACACGCTCCAAGCCTTGTGAGTAGATTTTTGTTGGAGGAAAACACTGGTGAATCTAAAAAGTATTAATGGTCTTCTAAATCATTCTTCAGTCCTCTTATCACTGGTGTCCCTCAGGGAAACCTGCCCTTTTTCATCTGTGCTGTAATAAGACAACAAAACAATGTTGTGGTAAGTTAATATTAAGTGATTCCTCTCCCCTCCAACCTTCCTGCTCCTGAACATCTTTGGATGTCCTTTACCTTGTATTATTCTCCCTCAGACATCACTCGGGTGAGAGTAGATCAAACCTTTAGCTCCTGTTCCTTCTCTTCCTTTAGTCCCTTCATTGCAGCAGAGGCCCTGCAGCTCATATTCCCTTTCCAGTGTGTCATGTATAATGCAGCAGGTCCCTTCATCAAAGTGAGAATGTCTGTCAGAGCAGAGGGCAGGCCAGAGGTTCAGAGTCAGAGGGATCTGACTGCTGGGGGGGGAGGCTGGCTGACCGCGGTTTAACAGAAATAAGCTTCTTTATTACTGATCATTTGGAAACCTGCTAATAGTCAGTATTGTGCACTAATGTGCATCTTTAGCTGGATTCTTGGCTTTCATGTACAAATCAATATTTTTCAGGAGAAATCATTAAAAAAAACAATTAACCTCATCTGTGGACAATTTGGACTAATTGGAGCAACACATGAGGTCAATAAGTTGTCAAAATCAGTAGGGTTTAAATTCAATAAAGAAAAAAATCAATATTACAAAAATCTGAGTGAAAATTTGATTTCAAAAATTAAATCTGAGGACAAACCATTTCCTGTTTTTTACTTACTCAAGGGAGGTGTGTTTTTCTCGTTGTTTTGTATAACTAAGATTTTTTTTATGTGTGCTTATGTTCATTTTATTTGTTGTTTACTTTGTTTTAAAATATATAAATCAGTATATATATTCTACCTAATAAACATAAAAAACATAGAAATAAATAAAATATAAACACACCGTGTTATTCCTTCAGGAAAGATGCAGGGGGGCATCAATATGTAAAAATTGGTGTGTGAAATGATCTTATTATACTTTATTTTCTGTTCAAACTGGTAGAAATCCTGAAGAAGGATGTTTGCCAAAACATTCAGGTCTTTAATATGTTGTGTACAACTCATGGACTAAATCCTGGTAATGAAGGAAAAGTCACAGGTCACTACAGTCTGTTGGGTTCCAGGCCATAGGAAAACATCTATAAATTTCATGGCTAACCAGCCTTTAAGTGCACTAAGTTGACCTTTTGACCTGAGAGTGGTCACTACAATTACAACTGACTGTGTCTCCAAAATAGAAATGGTGCACCTAATGTGTTCAGGCATATTGCAGCTGTGCACTCAGCACAATAAACAATCACGTAGTGTAGTTACATGCATAACTTGAAAGAACCTAGACATGAAGTATACATGTTTAACTAGGAGGTTAAACATGTATATGTGCCACTATACAGCCTACATGTGTGAACAGCTGTGTTTTGTCTGTTTTGTCAGATGTGCATGAGACAAAAAAAACATTGCTTTAACATGTGGAAATTGTGGCCTGATGGTCCTGGAGGCCCTAGTTGCAAGTTCAGGGTCAATAAAATCCTCTTGGGATTGTAAATAGTCACAATAAGATATCTTATAAATATGGCCATAGATCTCTGGACCAAAGTGGACAGTGTGGTCGCCGACATCCCTGCTAGAGGAACAAAACAACTGGCGGCGACTTTCACCTTTGTGATTCATATCGGTCAAACCTAACTTACAAACCTGGCCTGACCTCAGAGACTCTCACTGTCTCTGTCTCTCCCACACTGCTAACAGTTTTTATATAAATGTCTGCCTCGAGCCGTTCTCAGCAGCCAGCTCTGTTATGTCAGAATATAATTTCACCATACTGCTGGACCACAGTCAAATTATGATTCACACACACACTCACACACATACACATACACATACACATACACATGCACATACACATACACATACACATACACATACACACACACACATACAATTACACAGTTGAGTGTAATTATCATAATTCTGTCGAGCATTCTAGGAAATACCGTGTCAGGCCCAGACTCCACATACTAACCTGTATGAACAAGGACTCATTTTCCTCAGGCATTGGGCTGCAGTGACTCTAAAATAGACCGGACCATTTCCTACTGACGATGAGATTAGAGCCCATTTACAAAACTAATCGAATGAAAAGAGACAGGAAAGTCAAAGAGGTAATTTTTCCTTTGCTGGAACTCAAAGAAGACTCGCTCTTTGTTATTTGTTATAAAACAAAGAGAGATAATGAATCTGAGTGTATTGAATCTCACCTGTCATTAAGTCTCTCTATCCACTGGTTAGAATGCATTATTTACAACATTGAGCTTCCAACGACAGTATCTCCCAATGTTGTCTGTTAAATAGTAGGGATGAACGATAAATGGGTGGCAGGTAAGTAAGAAAATAGCTCCTGAAACTTAGAAGGAAATAGTGTACATGACATTAGGAAAGTTTTATGGAGGCTTTACGAGACAATAAAAGACACAAAACATGGATCAGCAGGATGGGATTACCCTCATTTGCCTGTATTTACCTGTTTTGCTGTGTTTCTTTATCCAACAGGACAGTTTTCCTGCCAGATTTGGAGGAATCCACTTTGTGAACCAGCCCTGGTACATCCACGCTCTCTACACCGTGATACGACCCTTCCTCAAAGACAAGACCAGGAAGAGGGTAAGGGCCAGAAGATATTACATTAAAGCAGCTATTACCTATATTTCTAAATAAATAATGGATTACATTACTATGTTTAATGTGAGAGGGGTTGCTCATAGTAATGAGCATAGTAGTGAGCAATTCCTCTCAGCTCTGTGGTATTTATAGCACATAGCAGCCCAGAACTTAACAGATATTTCCCTCAGGAGCTGGTGGAGATCACAACAGAGCTAAAAGGAGAAAATGAGAGTGAATACTGGATTTACATTCATCAGGTGGCCAGAAACACATGATTCCCTTAAATGGCCCAAAAAAGTGGCCAATAAAATCATTTAATGCAGGTTTAAGGCTTTCAGCTGATTAAAAATCACTCAGAAAATTGTTTCTTTATTGGTATTTAAATTTTAGAATAGACATTTTCTATCAGAAGCAAGTCAAAATAAAAACCAAATAATGTTTAAAATAATGTTCCATATTGTGACAAATGATTGAACTGGACTCTAAATGAGCATTATTCATTTTCCATGACATGAAAAAGTAATTTGGTTGGATTGCTTTTTTGTAAATGTCATGAGCCATTTAGCAACATAGAAACTTATATAGTAATGCATAAACTGAGCTACCTGTGCCTAAAACCATGGCTAATATATTAGCTTTAAATTGGTGTTATACCAAGTTTTGCTGTAAAGATTTATTAAGGAACAAGAGGGAACAATTAACAGAGTAAGAGCTCACTGAGGATACCATTTTTGTCTTGTCTGCACAAAAGCTTTTAAAATGTAAGTTGTGTTCTTTATTATTCATGGTTGTAAAATAAATTCCCCTCATGTGGCCAACCCAAACCGTCTCACTGTTGGTGTCCTTTCCCGTTGCAGATCTTCATGCACGGCAACAACCTGAACAGCCTCCACCAGCTGATCCATCCTGAGATCTTGCCGTCAGAGCTCGGTGGGATGATGCCGCCGTACGATATGGGCACGTGGGCGCGAACGCTGCTGGACCACGCCTACGACGAGGAGACCGACTACTGTCCGGAGTCCTACACCCTGTCGGTACAAGACCTGGAGAGAGACCTGGAGAAAAACCTGTCCCCCAAAACCATGAAGAGGTGAGCTCATCACATCTCCACACTCCATACTGTTTTTATTCTTTTATCCTTACTTTCACGTTTTTAAGAACATTTTATAGAGCTCCACAGCGGATGTTTACAGAGGGAATTGTGTTCATCTTTCCCAAAATATTCCCATCTGCTGCAGGAACATGAACCAGCAACCTTCTGGTAACATGTCTTTCTAAACTCTACACAATCTTAGGGAAGCAGACAGGTTCATAAAACAAAGTGGTGCATGAAAACAGTTGACAAACCAAACTAATATGGCGCTAGTTTTATAATAATGAGAATGATGTTTTGAAATAAGTAATTGTGTACAGTAGTATCAGCGTATCAATATACTGTCAAACTAATTATATTGTCTTTGCATAATTAGTGCAAACAAATGAGATAATGATGGAGCTAATGTGCAGATTTTATCTCACTGTGGTATTCTTGTCTTCTCTTCCCACCTCCCACTACCTGCCATATTTAGCTTTACTGAAGAGGATGAAATTGGTCTAATTGATCCCATCTGACTATATATTCATACATTTATTTCTTTATATAATAGGAAAATAATGTTATGAGCTGCTGTGAGTCTGACTCAGGTAAACGAATATAACTAAATATAAGTAAACATTTAGAATGAAAGATTGAATAAACACAATACAGAAAGCTAACATAACTAAATGAGCAAATCAGCTGGACTTAAAAACCATACCAACATTAAATTATAGCCTTTTTAGACACAAAGTTACTGGACCAAGACTGAAACATAAACATAGCTCCCAGTCTTGACAGAGAGAATATCTTTGTAAATGTAAATGTATCTTTGGCACTGTGCTGCTGTGAGTATGTTTGACATTTAATGGGGTATCATTCCCACCTATAGGCCACCATGTAGTGTGATTCACTGTGACAGTAAATGATCTGACCACTATGTGACACCAACTGACTCAATCATTCTCAAAAACACTTACTGTGGAAGATAAACCACAATATGAGCTAGAACATAAACTGTCAACAGAGCCCTGACAACTATCAATAAATAGTCAGCAAAGTCAGTAATAAATTACTTGACAATGTGTATTTGAAAACCAAAGTCACTTGATTATTCAGTTGCATGCAGTTGCAAATACAAGTAAGTTACAGTGCGTGCATATTATAAGAGTTATATAACCAGAGTGCAAAAATACAGATTTTCATGCCCAGGATTTTCTTTTTTTATGAAAGATTAAAACATTTTACTGAGGAAAAACTTATGAAGAAACATGAATAAAACATTTGAATACATAATAATACAATAACATATCATAGACTTGCACTTTGCAAGGATTTCTGAATAAGTGATGGATTTCCACCTTAGATCTACAGAAACATGCAGTTGTACAATAGATCTTCGTGGATCAAACAAATTGTTTCCAATCCAAAGCATGGCCTTTGAAAACCAACCACTTTTTTTTTACTTTTTTCTTACCAAAATAGACAGGTGGAAAAAAATTTGCTCCAAAATAGCTTTAAAAAGCTGATTATTCAGCCTGCAGGTTGAATCTGTACTCAGCATCCACTGATCACTCTGAGTTGAGGTATTCCAATCAGTATCGGGAGATAAAACTTAATCTAAAATGTGGTCAGCTTGAACACATTAAAATAGGGAAAGAGTGTCAGATAATAATAATTTGTCTCTGCACTTCACAGTTCACAATCTTATAATAATAATATCTTTATATAGCACTTATCAAAGCAAAGTTACAAAGTACTTCACATAAAAAGCAAAGAACACATAAAATAAAGCAATAAAAGAATCAAAGTATTAAAACAAACCGTATAAAATATTGAATTAAAACTGAAAAACCCCTCAACAGATTAATAGCTGGAGCCCATATCAGGGAAGCTGGGGTTTTCCTCTTTGTATGATTATGAACTGGAGCAGTCACCTCAGATCCATTCAGGTGTAAATTAACTAAACTCAACTTTATTTACATAGCACCTTTTATACTTGCTTCACATAGCAAATTATTTATTAATTAAATTAGACTCGGGTCTGGTCTCACTTACTCACTATCGCTCATCATCTTGTGTTCTGTTTCCCTGCAGGTCTCAGTCGGTGGTGGAACCCGGCGTCCTGAAACGACCGGACAAAGTGAAGAGTGAAGAAGACAACATGCAGCCGCTGCTCTCGCTGGACTAAACCCCCACGTTCAACAACAGCTCAAAAGCATACCCAAATCAATATTTACACACACAAACACACTGACTTACCTGTGCACCTGCTGTAAGCGACATGCTCGCCCTGAAAACACCTTCCTCCAGAAAATGCTGCTGCTGCTGCTGCTGCTGTTGGTTTCTTGTTTTTCTCTTGAACTCAAGGAAGTCAAAATGAGCTGATGCAAAGCGGCCAGAGATGAGGAGGACGTTTCCTCACACGGAAGGGCATCCTAAGAGCTACTGATGTTGTTCTATATATTTATTTAGTTATTTGTCAAGTGCCAATTCCAACAACTGTAAATTAACGTCTTTTGAACAATCCAGCCCCTCAGTACGGAGCAGGGAAGGAGAACAAACACAAGTGCAAAGAGAAAGAGTCGCCACATATGTGTTAAAACAGTGTTTCCTACAGTTGTATAGTATATGAGTGATGGGCGATTTGAAAAACTGGAAATCGTACTTCAAAGAGGGCTTGGGGGCCAGTGGTTCCCGAGCTGCAATTTTTTTTTCTTCTTTGTACATTAAATTGAAGAAACGCCCTGTATGGGCGAGAAGCACGGCTCAGGATTAGCAGAAGTGACCATAATGAGCTTGTTCGACCTCCTGGACACAAAACTGGCAGACAGGCAGGCACTGGGTTCACTGCGGGGGTTAATGGGCGTCTTTCCTGTAAAACTAATACCTGAACTATCAGTCGCGCTCCAGTTATCTCTTGGAAAAGCAAACCCCCCTTTACGATGAGAGTTGGCGCTATGAATTATGTGGTTTTTTTCCTTCCGGCCCTTTTCTCTCTTCTTCTGACCCATTTGTCATATTTCCTCTGCCATTAGTAAAATACAAAAACAACTTGCATCATCAAGTATTTGTTTGGCTGGAGATGACCAAAAAATATATTTTGAGAAACTAATAGGTAGGACGTCAAGCCAGACAAATAAATAAGCCTAAATTACATTTTTATAAAAGCAGAAAAAGGGCAAACATATCACGCTCTCCTGTTACATTCATTATACTTTTGGCAATAATAGTCTTAATTTTGAAATGGTCATGGAAGCATTACGTAAAACTAAAAGAATTACATATTAAAGGGCCACACATTAAAGTATTGTTTGCATGTTTAAGACCATTAACCAGAAATGTATTTTGTTATTTAAAGGTCCAGTGTGTAACATGTCGGATTTATTGGCAGAAATGGAATATAATATTTCAATAGTGTATAATAGGAATTGTTGTGTTTTCGTTACCTTAGAGTGAGACGTTTTTATCTACAGAGGGAGCGGATCCTCTTCTGCGGACACCGCCATGTTTAACCGCCACATTTCTACAGTCGCCCAGAATGGACAAACCAAACATTGGCTCTAGATAGGGCCTTTCGCAAGTCCTGCACACTGGTCCTTTAAATATTTCATTTGCATCATTTCAGTACACTATTGGTGTTTCATAATACAGCTAAAAAAATGAAGTATTATCAGTATTAGTATTAGTTTGTAATCTTAATTTAAGGTCCACTTATTAGCTTTCTTCTTAGCTTTCAACCACAGCTCACGTTCAACTATTAATTTACAGATTTGATTGAAGATTTTAAGCGTTCATGTGCCATCATGTGATAGAAAATTACTTCAGGCAAACCTGTCTTTTGAGTGCAAGAATAAAACTTTTGGTAGTAGACTCTTTTAAAGGTGCCCCGTGGAGTTTATGACCACTAGCTGCACTATGGAGCAATGTTTTTACAAACTTTTACAAACTATTGTTATCTGGCGATGTGATTCATATTCCTGCCATTCATTTCACACTATTCCAGTAATCAACAGCTGGCGAACACACAAAAAGACAAAGGCAAAGGAGAAGACGTCTATCTTTGGCTCTTTAAATGTTTTTTACAAGCAAGGAAAAACATTTTTTTGACCTCATGCATACACACAATGAGTGTTGGTGAGAAACACTGAATGTTAACATAACTTTTGTTTGGTTACAACAAAACTCAATGGGGCACCTTTAAGTCTCAAAGGTCAGCGCTTCCTGACAGCATGTGAATGCACCAGACCTTAAGTTCAACAGTCTGATAATGACACACAGTAATAAATGATCTATCTCAGGCAGTATTCAGGTTGGCAGTAATTTAAACATGATTGGCAGTAAATGTGTTTCTGTCCTGTTAAGTTTAATCTAACTAAAACGTTGTTTTTATTTTACAAATTACAGTATTTTATCATAATTACATCATTTCTGCATATATTCTGCAGTTAGACAAGCTACTGCTGCAGTGTAGATACAGTAGGATATGTATTTATTTCTGCTTGCTCCACTCACTGTTTTTTATGTTTTACTGACTTCCCAAAAATACTACTATAAAACTGGCACCAGCTGAAGGTGTTTGACACACTGCACTTTAGGCTCTTCCAAAACAACAATTCAACACATGTTTATGTTGTGAAGTGCAAAAAAAGTATGACAACCGAACGTTAAGGAAGCAGAGACAGGGAAACTGTGACGATGATGGGCAGAGCAGCAGAGGAAAAGCCAGTCAGGCTGGCAAGCATGCAGCCGAGCAGATCACAGAAAGGCCGGCAGGCAGGAAGTGTGAGCTGGCCGGCTGCAACGAGAGCAGACAGCTGGAATGTTAAACTATCACACCAGCGTACATGACATGTCAACCGCACTTACAACAGCTCAGAGGCTCGACCCTGTGCGGAGTCGAGTTAAGACTGCGGCCTCAGTGGTTCTTTCTTTAGGCTCAGTGAGATCTGTCTGGTTTCAGCGCTGTTTAAATCAGAGTGAGATGGAGAACTGCCACAAGCAGACAATAGCTACAGAAAAACAGTCTGGCAAACATGTTGTGATTGTTTAATGGCTCATTTGTGTTACGTCTTGTGTGATTTCATTTTGAATTCTTAATTGACACTGAACAGTTGCTACACCTGAAAGCTTGTTGTTCTCACACAGCAGCTTATAGTGACAACAGTAGCAGACTGACTACTCCAGGTTTGTAATAGTAATATTTGAAACAATGAGCCCATTCACCTCATTTCAATTTAGTCCGCTGAAATGACAACTAGCTGATGTTAATGCTGTCAAACTTTTAGTTGTTCCAGCTGATTCGCCTTAAGACGAGAACCTGTAAAACAAAATATTTGTGCTGAAAGACTGAGGCTTCATGTCAAGTCAAAAATCCTCACCAGTTGATGATCAACGTAGAAGACCTGGAAATAAGGAAACATCATTGTGGTGGAGACTATTAGTTTATAATTGAAAATGTGATTAAAAAGTTAAACAGAACTGCTGTTGCTTGTTGAAGAAAAATACCATTGGACAAGCAACACAGAGGTTAAATTTATGCTGTATTCTTTATATTTTTCATTTTTAAGACAGAAAAGGTTGGAAACTCAGATAATGAGGGTGGCTGAAGACACAAACTCTCCCAAACCAGATAAAGAGCAGGACAGACTGCTAACCTGGATGTTCCTGTCATGAAAAGGAGATTTTTCTAACACAACCTGTAATCCTACAACATACAGCAGCTAGTTAATGATATGCTCCATGGCATTAAACTCTAGTTTGCTGTACACTGGTAAATTAATTAGCCCTTGGCATGCTTTAGCTTCTTTTAAGATTCTTTCCAAACTCTTTAAATACATAATATTGCTCTTGCTAGCACCCAATGCACACCACTTTGGCATGTGTAGAAATGAAAAACTCTCCAGCCGAGTTGTTTAGGAGGGGTTTACAAGCAGTAATTTCTCAGCAAAAGCCCAAACCACCTGAGTGAGCTACAGCTCCATTCTGGCACAGATTGGCCCAAAGTCCTGAAGTCACTGCCTCCCAGCTGTTGCTTACTTTCATTGAGCTTATTTAGTGGGACAAAAATATATCTTTCAATAAATACAAGTAACATTCAATACCCACGTCCGTGATAATGACTGAAAAACACTGAGCTCAATCATCTCTTCACATTCACGTCTGTTAGAATCAAACTGCTCTGATTGCATTGCAAGTTATTTTAGGGGGCGAAAACATGTTATTTTAGCTACATTTGTCAAAGCAGCCATTTTACTCAGATTTTTCCATGCACTGGGACACAATTATGTTTGAAAGCTTTTGACTGTGGCAAAAAGCTAATGGGGATGGAAATTATAGAAAATTACACTGGTATTATTCTCTGAACCTCCACAGGGTACAGTGGTAACCGTAAAATCCAAACATATCATCCACCAAAGTCACAAAATTGGACTGAAACACTGGAGAGATAGCTTTGAACAAACCATATTATTTTGGAGGTATTATTTCTGTGTGGAGGGCAGCATCAAGAACCAATGTGCAAACTATAGGCAGATGACGGAAACAATGAGCAGAACTCTTGTTTGAGACTGTAGAACTGGAGTTTGAAGAAACATTTTTATCATCAGACAGAGCGGGTCCTCTTCTATGAAAGCTGCCATGTTGAATTGCCATGTTCCTACAGTAGCCCAGAACGGACATACCAAACACTTTTTCTAGATAGGTCCTTTGACATTTTTCACCACAGCCACCATATTTTCTCCTACTACTAAACTTGGTTGAGGCTAGCTGTTTTTGCTGGTTGCAATCTGCAACTTCACCACTAGATGCCACTAAATCCTACACACTGATCCCTTAAGTGTCAATGCAGGGAGCAGTGCACCTTTTATGTAGCAAGATAAAAAGTGAGAAAACTATCTTTTCCTAACTATTAAGCATATAATATATTAAGGCATCTTTTTTTGAATGGCTTTAATTACTGAACGTAATCTGCGGTCTTGCAGAATCGTCTGATATTGGTGTTTGGTTACATTTTCTGAGCGTTACAAGATAGTCATTAAGAGCCAAACATATCAGCTATCTTCAATCCAAAACTTAATGATGTCAGTTTTTAAATATTTAGAGTCAGTGTTGCTTCCCTATAACACCATTAAGGTTAACATTAAGATTATTTTTGTCAAATCTTCGTGTTTTATAAGAATTGAACAAACGCTGGGATTTGCCAGCCATTTTAGGTATTTCCTACTGGTTATTGCACCAGTTTAAATCGAACCGTCAGACACTTAACTGTAGGGGAAATGTAGAACTGCCAGTTTTGTGCACATCAGAGAGACTGTAATAAACTGCAAGTCAAATACATGTTCATCAAGTGTTTTAGAATTATTTCCGTGCATTGGTAGATATCTGACAGTACACAGTAGAACAGTTACAGGCTGCACAATCAGATTCAGCATTAATGTCACTTCGAGTCATTCAGGAGGAAATGTGAAGGAAAACACAGATTTGTAACATAAACAAGGCACACACACACACACACACACACACACACACACTGTAGATGCTTCCAGTTGTTAGGATACAAAGTTTACATTCAATAAACATCTGTATACTGCTTGAATATAGCAAAACTGCGTTGAACTGAATCTCACATAGAACATCCTGCAGGTTCACTGGTTATTTTTAAGGTTCCAGTATTAGAGGTCGCTATCAGAGTTCAGGCTTTGTTCTGTTGTAAAACGTATTGTATGTAGAGGAACTTAAACATGGTAACACACAAGTAAAGACTTTAATTTTTATTACAAATATACTTTATCGGGTAATGCTTGGTGCTTTGCCACACATTTAAGATTTTTAAAATGTTTTTTTTTTGTCAGTATTTTATTAAAATTGCTATCTACCTTGTCTATTACACAGCTGACAGATTGGTATATGTTGTATGAATTGTAAACAGAATTATGAAGTTAGAATCTGTTTTTATTTTTTAAAAAATTCAGCATTTCGAATGTTATTTCTTTGTGGTTGTTATGTCTTTCCTGCTGACCTTGGATCAAAGTATTGTTGAATATATTTCAGAAACATGTATTGATGGTTTTCCACATGTTAAAAAGCCACTCAGGAAGCCATCCTGGAGGTCCTCAGTGATTCTTCGTAAATTTTGATTCAACCATCTCAGCAAAACTAATCTCAAAAGGATTTATCTCTAGGCTGGTTTTGACTGAAAACTTAGGTTTGTCGTTGCAATCAGTTGCATCAGTTTAATAGTGAGCTAACATTTTTTCAGCTAAACACTGTCTTATTGTAAACACATTGTTTTTTTACACCAGCTTACATGGAAGGAAATGTAGAGCCCACATACTGTTATTCTCCAATGCAAAATAAGATCTCACAGACTGTCTGGGGAAACATGAATGAAGCATTCTCATTCTCCATCCTCTTCCATTACCTTTGACTTGCTTCACTTATTAAAACAAATGCCATATATGCGACCCATGCACCAGCATGCAGGGGCCCGGAAGGACAAATTTATCAAACAAACATTGAAATATGATGCTGTCACCATTTGCAATTCACCATAAGCAATGTTGGCAAATTGCTCTAGTGAAACAGGCCCTGGTCAGCTGTTTGGAGCTGGAAAATCCATATTTCCTGCAATGAGCAAGCAGCGTGAGAGCCTGAAACACCTATCCATCAAACACTTTCACCTCAAATGTACAGTACCCTGCTCTAAGCCTTAGTAGCTTCTTTATGTAACATTAACTAAAAATTGGCATCAAGGAAAACAGTTTCCAACCCAAAAAAATAACTTTTTTTTTTTATATTTTGAGTATTTCTTTTTCAAATTTCTGCCATTCCCACTCAGGTTTTTTATGCCCAGATTGATAAATGTGCATAAAAACATGTTGATGGAAAATGCACTTTTGCACTGTTTTTACATTGATGCTTTCTCAGCCTCTCCAGTTTGTTCTGCAGCTCAAACAATCACATTGGTGAGACTAAATCACTTTGTATGGGAGAATAACAGTGAGCAGACTTTCATCCAGGACCTGTGATTTGTTTTGGATATGCATGCTCTTAAATGTTTTTTTATTTTTTTATTTTTAAGTATGATCACACTATTCATTTTGACTTTATTTTGGCATGTTTAGATATTACTTTTAACAATTGCATTAATTCCCCAGTAGACCTCCACGATGGTGGCAAATGTGGTTAGCAGTTGGGACAGAACCTTCCATCTCTAGGACAGAGTATGAATCCCAGTTTGGAACATTGTCTATAATATAAAAGGGCAAATCATCCCTGTTTGGCAGATTGTGGAGGAGAGGACATCATTCACAGAAATGGGATCCATGTGTTGGATCTGGAAAGATATGACTGTCCCAGGTCTCATCCTTCTAGATCTGTTGAGGCACCAGTTTGACCTTTGAGTTGGCTGATGCATGGAGACTCTTTCACTGGGATACATGCACTGTTTGCATTCATCTGGTTTATATGATTGACAGTAAATGGTTATAAAAAGGGAAGAAGTTGACCTCAATGTTTATTTTCAGTGATGTAAATGTCCTCTGCTTTCCCGTGCCTTTGAGGCAACTGAAACTATGTTGATTAACTATGTTTTTTTGACAGAAAACTGGCACCAATGACATTACATGCACTGTATACTGTAGATCAGTTAGTAATTAAATGTTCACATTAAGAGTTTTGTTCCACAGTGAGGTGTTAAAAAAACTGCCAGCTCCGCAAATCATTTCTGACATAGAAAAATGTAATTAATCAAGTCATCTTTATCTGATTTCTATATTCATTTTCAAGTGCTTTTCATCATAATAATGCATTATTATGGAATCAAACTCTCCATCGCAAGCTTTGTCAGTGCACTGCAGTCTTTATAATGATGGAATAATAATATTAATTTCCCACTGACTTTGATCAATGTTTGATTTATTTGAGCCAAAGCCACCTCTTCCATTAAAAATACAATGTATTGTATTGAATCATTAATATGTTCTTTAAGGATTTGGACACTGAATGACATTTTTTAATGATTGATAATTTTTCTGAAAATGAATGCATTATGTTGAGTTGGTGATATACTTATTTAATTTTAATATCACTGTTCTTTGATTGTATAGTTACAGTAGGAGCTATAGGGAGACCAAACTCAAAACTGAATTGTGAGTTATTATGGAAAGCCAGTATATTATAGGAGCAAAAACTGTTCAGTTAGCAGGTGTTAAATGTATAAATGTCCTAAAAGACAATTTGCTGAAATGCATTATGTAAAACGAGCTAAATAAATATGGACACACATAGATTTTCTCACATTTCTCTTATATTTCTGTCTTAAATCGTGTCTTGCCACTCTAGGCAATGCTGTCCTTTAATAAAAATGCAGGATTTGGCAATCAAGATCTGTTTCCTGGGAGTGAGGCAGGATTTTTAGAGGTCTCACTCAGGCTGAAAGATAATGCTTTAGTACACTTTGCACTAAGTGAAAAACAGTCGACGTGTTTTTTTGAGCGAAGGACAGCCTTGTTACACTTTATATGCATGTAAAGTACTTCAAACATTTTAAACTGTTATGGGATTAGAATTGTTTCACTAAAAAGTATCAAATGAAAAACATCTAATTCTGAGGGAATAAAGACAATTTGGGACACAAAAAAACCTTCACAATGTACACAAATCATTTAATCATTAAGAAAATGCCCTGTAACTCCAACTTACTCCTTGGAACAGAACTGAAAGTGAAAACCTTAGCAGCGTAAATGAAAAACGTCAGCCAATAAGATGAAAGTAGAGAATGTTGTAATCAAACAGGGCGCTTCAGTTTTGCATTATGGGTCATTTTTTTGGTTCATTTTCATAATTGCTACTAAAGAGCTTCTGTTTAAAAATACTGAAGTTTTTCAGATACTTAAAGTTCATTCTGAAAGCTGACTCTTGGAGTGCGGTGGATTTGTTTTTTGTTCTATTCCTTCCCTCTGCCTTTAACTCTGTTGGATTAGAATGGATTTTTTTCACAGCAGCCATTTTGACATGAAATAGGGTAAACACAGGTGTTACCAATAATACTAATTAAGGTTCTGTTCCATTCAACTCAAACAGAGTCAGGCTGCTGTTGTGCACGTTGGCTTACTGGAAAGGCTCTGCTACACTAAATGGAGCAAAGGATTAGGGTCATGGATAACACCTGTGTTTACCCTACTATTTCATATCAAAATGTCTGCTATAAAAAAGGTCTATTTCTTCAACATTAAAATGACCTTAAGAAGCAAAACTTTCACACAGGAGTAAATCCCCATTTCCCAACCAGTAGTAGTAACAGTAGTTTAATTTGATTGAATTTATGGACTATATCATATATCACTTATAATCCCATATTTTCAAACCCAAAACATTTTAGAATTAAAACACAACCACTGAAGTCAGTGTGCCACCAATCCCTCCTGCTGAAACCACAATAACACTTGTGAGATGCTTTAAAGTGTTCGTTCCCAGAGCTTGTTAGTGTCCACTAACACTGTTGGCTTCTGGACATTTACAAAAATTCATTGACGTTGGTGTAATTTATGGGGGGATGTGACATTCATATGACTCTTAATTTGTACTTGCTAATATGATTTGGAGTAAATGGATTGCTGCTCAGAGTTTGTCCATTAGCAACATTTAGTTTCACATCAGGAAGTAACCAATAAGTCTAAAGAGGTTCTTGGCGGATGGTTGCGTGGGTGCACAAAACATTTGACTTGAAGACCAGAATTCAAATTCTGTCTCAGGCTTCAGCAAAAAGTATTAACAGTAAATTCTTGTGGATGCGTTCAATCTCTGTGTGGACAAACATTCAAACCAGGCAACAATTACTGTATGTGTTGTATCTCACAGGAGGAGGGATTGTATCGATCCTCATCAGGCAGGTTTTAACTTGACATGTTTTGTTGTTCTGACATGAGCCCGGTAAATGTGCTTCAGACTAAAACGTCTTTCTGTGTCCCCATAACATCCATCTTTGGCTAATTATTCTACCTTGTAAGAAATATAAAAAAAGACACAGTAATTGGCTCGCAAATTTCTTCAAATATTTATTGACATTATGACTCACAAAATGCATTTTGGTGATTGTATTCTACATTTTACCACGGCAGACATTACCTCTAGAGTGCCATTTCAGCAGCCTGAAATGTCACTTGTGACATTTAATTGGCTCCTAAAATGTTTAAAATGGTTATTGAGTCAGGCTGCTAGCCTTATCATGTGCTTACATCATACTCCTTGGCTTTATAATACATGCAACAGGTAGTTTATACTCTCTCTTTATGAAACATAGTTAAAATTGTTGCCCACATTACAGTCTGATGATATTGGACAACATAAAAAAATCTCTCTAATTGAAAAAAATTACATTTTTCCGAGCAAACCAGTGTATTTATTTATTTTCATTTATTTTTTATCTATTTTACTGTGAGACTTAATGATCAGTCTCCAGAGTGCAACACAAAAAACTATTATCTACAGTCGTTATACAGCATCTGAGAGTGATGCTTGTGTGGAACTGAATTGCAACTCAAACATCTGCTGCTGTCTTCTTTAAATGACACCATCATGCAAATTACATAAGAAAGCATTAACAAAATAAGTGTTTCTTCCAAATGAACCAAACAACCTCAAACCTAATTTGTTCAGTGGATAAAATTGCTTCAAAACAACATTAGTACAGCAAATAATATGCTTGTATTGCTGAAATCACAACAGTCATCATATTTTCCCAATTTTGAAACATTTCCAGATTAATTCTGTAGATTCATAAAAACAAGCCCAGGATGACTATAACACTCTTTGGTAAGTAAACATCAACAAATATGAAGTAACATCTTTCTGAAAGTCTTTTGAACCTTTTACAACGTCCTGTCAAAGGTATTTTTTATAACATATCTCTCTCTCTCTCTCTCTCTCTCTCTCTCTCTCTCTCTCTCTCTCGCTCTCTCTCTCTCCAGCTACTGCAGCAGGTGAGAAACTTAAATACTGTTTCCTCCAGGGTTTGCACATGGCATAAACCTGGTTTTAAAACTCCTGAATTCCCCTTAGAGGAAGGTACACAACTAGCAAATCATTGTCATACTATGGTATAAACAAGAGCCATAGGTGTAATACCAACCAGTATTTTCTGCTGGTTTCCCTCTTTTTTCACTGCTTTCTATAAAGCAATAAGCCCGTTGGTCTCAAATGAACTTAACCGGACCTAAATGCTCAAATCCAATTCATTTATTGGATCATATTCAATTGTTACATGTTTCTAGACCTCATGGTCAAAAGAACGGTAACAAAATTAGCACATCTGATACTGTGTATGCTAATGTTCAAGTAAAACAAACATAGAGTTTATGGCACTTTGTACATTTTTTAATGTAGGCCCATAATATGAATGTTTGAATGTTTTAAAAACTGCATTGTTTACATCAGCTTGCTGTACTCATTTCTACATTTTGACGCACCATTGATAATGTGAATTATGTAAAATTAAGGGATAGTAAAGAACATTTCTCCTCCCTGCCATTTGAACGCATTGCCTGTCTTTGAAATAAATACCTTTATTTTTAACCAAAACATCAGGTGATGTGACAGGCAAGCTGTTCACAGAGAACTAGAGTTACCCTAGTAACCAAAGTTTCCGAGGTAAGCTTGTCCAAAGATGTTTGCTTTGATACATCAACCTAATAGCTAGAAGCTAACGTTTATTTGTGTTGTATTTCCTCCTCAGGGACCTTCTCCTCAAAACAGTGGTTTACAGGCCCACTAGTGGACAAAAACTCCAAAGGTAACTTCAAATGGCAAGTGGTCAGGTTGGTTTAGTGGAGAGTTGTCAAAAGTATTGACTTTTGGAGCAAAAACTACATCAAATTATCAAAAATATACTACTGACCAACAAATGTGGGAAACCCAGTCCAAAATGTAGAAGGTACAGATCATCAAATATATAAACTATATAAACTACTGAAAAACTGAAGTGAAACATACTGATGAGTACATTTTTTTTGCTTCAAGTGTACACACGGTACCCTTTCAATACTGCTGCACTATGGTGACAACATGCAGGGGAAAAAAACAGCATTACACTTATGTACTTATGATCTTACACAACAATATTTAGAACATGTAATCAGGGATGTAGCCGAGACCCATTCCACTTTTTAGGATCACATGAACATTTTTGCAGGTTATAAAAAGTCTTGTATATAGTCAAGTGAGATTGGATTAGGTAAGATTTGAAAGCATAATTAGAGCACACAGCTCCAGCTGTATGGTGTAATTACTGTCTGTTAATATCATTCATTCAGGGCCTCCAGACAGCACAGAGCAGCAACCTACTACTGCATCTCCCCACTGGAATAAGATTCATTTTAAAAATGATTCATCTATGAGCAAAACACCTGAAGTAAACACCAACGCCAGGTGTCTTTTAAATGCCACTCTAACAACACTCAGTAGATTGCTACTGTAAATGCTTGTCAGATCTAATTTTATCTCATGAAACATAAGGGCTCTTCACACTTACATTTCTCTGACCAGTTGACCTAAACCCTGCAGGCACACTTGGACTTGTTAACCTGGAGTTTGCGTCAAGCCTCAGGTTAAATATTTACACTCAAAAATCAGAGTTAATGTGCTCAGTATGCTAACAGCAAACAATAAGCGGAGATTTGATTGGACATCCCGTTGCTTTGGTTCTAACCCAGATTAACACCAGTGATTTTAAAGGTGCATTCAGAGTGAACATGAAGCAATTTTCCCTCGCTTTATTGTGCCATTAGTGGCCACAAACAGCTCATGATAAACTCTACAGGGGCTAGCTGTTGCTGTTAGCTTGGTAGGTCGGACTCATTACAAAACTCAACAAGAACTCCAGTTCTCTGTTATTTTGTCCCCAGTTTGTCCTATGTTCCTCTTGTTTCTGCAGCAGAGTCATACAGCTGCAGGATATGTGCACATTTCTGGTGTTTTGTGGAAGCATTTTAAGATGCGTCTTCACCTTAGTTTGCACTACCTCGACTGAACCTGCAGCTGTTCGCTTCCACTCACAGCTTTCCATTGATTTGTATGCATTTGCATCGCCTCTGTACTTATAGCTTTGGGTTCAGTCTGAACACACCTTAAGACTTTTTGGGGATAATCCTGAACAGATGTCAATAGACCTGCAATACAATGAGGATTAGTAAATTGCCACACCTCGAACATCAGTCTACAGTTAAATAACTGCTCAAAGTCAGTCCACAAGGTATTAAACCGTAGGTAACCATTGCAACAGTAGAAGTGCCTTACGCTGCGTTACCATGTAACTCACAAGTGAAACTGAACTTTAAAAACATGGAGGAATTAACATTAGAACGCCTTGTGGATTATAGGAACTGTAAGTGTGTATATGCCTTGGGCGAACACTACAGCAGGCCTTGGACTAATGTGGGTGTTATCCCTGCTTTAATCCTAGTGTGAAAACCCCTTTTGGTTCTTTTCAGTTAAGGTTTTCATTCTGTAAGACAACAGCAAATCGCCGATAATGCTCAGCAACAGTTTTGCAGCAACAACAAGGCATCAGGCCTTGTTGGTCAGATACAAAACCAGAGCGAGTGAGGTAACTGAAAATATGACAATGTATCAGCCTTAAGAAATAGGCTGATGATCAACATGGTAAAAATGACATTTAACCACTGTAGCAGACATCACAGCGTCTCATTAGTTGGTCACGTCAAAGTTGTCCGTGCACAGACTCCCTGTCTCTGAATATGCAAGTTAAAATAAGTTAACTAAGATAGCTCAACAGTTTGAGATTCTACTTGATACACTACAACATTTAATCCACTGATCCTATAAAGTGGACTTAATTCTTAAGAACAAAGCTGACTTTGACTTTTTCAAGGACTTTCAAGGTGTAAAGATTATGGGACAAAGAAGCAAAGGGCCAATTATTTAAAAAATTACAGCGTTCAAGTATTAAATTATTAAATGAGGGACTATATACTGTAAACTTCAAGCCCTTATGTTCCTATTTGAAGCTGAGGACACTTTTAAAAAGCAACTTCTTCTAAAGACAGACAATCAAACAAAATGTGTCAGTGTCTGGGAATGAAAAAACATCCAACCATTACATTTAACATGTCAAAGTATGTCTTTAAACTAAGAAAAGCAGCAGTGCCTTTAATTTAAATGAAGCATGTTAAGGTGAGACTCATACTGTTCCATGTGCTGCAGTTTCATGCTGACACAGCTGATATGAGCTCGCCTCTTTACTCCTGCCTGATATTAGGTCATCTAAACAGAAAATGCCTCATTATTCATCACTCAGCAACATTTTTATGAGACTGATGGATGTTCACACACTCATGATCAGAGACAGGGAGGCTGCTTGGATCAACTGTGGGAGCTCCTGGGATTTGAAACCCCAACATTTGCATGATAATCTGTGGCGGATGCAGCAAAGCAGCAAAACAAAAACCAGTCTTGTTATGGGACAACGGATAAGGGTGATTTACATCAATGATTAAAAATGAAAGAGGATCCAAGTTGTCAACTTATTCATCTTTTACATTCTCAAGTCACAGTTCAGAGTGTGAATGCATGCATTGCTATGTTAGCTGTTATATTAAAAAACAAAAGCTGAACTATGCAAGTATAATCACATTCAAATCCAATACAAGTTCTTTATTTCCTAATTTCTTTCCCATTAACATTTGATGCAAAATGCTGTCCCTAATGAGTTCATGAGTTTTGCATTTGTTACACTATTATCCCTTCAAAATATATAATGTGCAGCTTTAAAAAAGTATCCATTAAAACTAAAAAACAAATGTTTCTCATGGTGCATAACTGTTTTGTTAACTGTTTGGTGTCAGTGCAAGTGCCTTAAAGTATACATTTTAAACAAAATAGGATTTCATAAAAAGCTCATATTAAACTGGGCTGCAACTGAAAAACAACATGCCAAAGGTGTGTACATTTATTTCACCCTAAATTACAAATACAAGCATTATGTACACTATACTGAGTTAAGAATATTCACATAAATGCTTCTTTGTTTGGATGTTGGTGATTTTATATTACATCTCAGACACAAGCAGGGCATAGCAGTGATGACTAATGAAGCAGCAAAGCATCAGCTGAGAGGAAAATGGGAAATATCAACAGAAACCCCAGGAGCTCAACCACATAGAAAGGAAAAAAAAAAACATAAATAAATTAAAAACAAAATAGTTCTGTCCACTTTTATCTGTGTCTGTGATTTTCCTCAAAATGTAAGGATTTCACAGATTTAAAACATCTCCCCCTGCTGGACTGGGAGATGCAGTGCTATCAGAAATGAGGTGAGAGTTCAGGTTGACCTATTGCCCCGACGCCCTCACTGCTCTCTGCTGCTCCAGCATGGACCTGAGTGCAGGGGACATCATGGTGGGGGACATGGCTGGGGTGAAAGGTCGCAAAGGGTACTGTGCATTTTTACCAGGTACGTAAATGCACTGGAAGTATCTCTGGCCTGTGAAGACAGCAAGATGAGATGGATAGATGATTGATAATGGGATGCTTTCAAATTAATTGAACACAGGCAGTGGACGACGGTGGATTACACTGGTGGTAAAGAGGAGAATTTAGTCTAAAGCTGAGCTTAAACTTCTTAATATGGAGTTCTAAATGGGTCAGTTTTGAACCCAAAGTCACTGAGAGTTACCAAACAAAATTTCATTGTATGTCTTCAATGACAAATACAATGTTTTATGTGTTATATACCTCTCTCTCTAATCCCTTATTTCCTATCTGTCTCTATTCAGCTACCCAATAAAAGCAAAAAAGCCAAAACATAATAATAATATATATATTTTTTAAAAAACATATGCATTATAATTTACTTTACATTTTAATAAAGATTTGAACAAGTTTTAAGAGGAAACCAATATTTATTTATAAAACTTTCACCTGACAGTCATCAGGGACTATTCAGCTGCTGCTTCCTCTCACTTACAATAACAAAAAAAAAAAACATCTGATGAAATTTCTGCAACTCTTACCTGGTTTCTTCTTTTCTGTAGTATTGTCTTCGGTCTGGGGCTCTTCTGCAAGAAACAGGATAAAAGACATTGTTACATTGCTGGTGTGTGAGTGCGTGTCTGTGTGAGAGAGAAAGAAAGCAAAGAATGATGAGTGTCTGCATGCACGTAAGTGGGTAAAAGAGAAGGAAAGAGCCTGGCAAGAGAATTAAAACATTTGAACAATGTGATGTGATGTTCAGTCCAGCTGAAATTGATATATTTTGTGCAGTTGTCATTCAAACAGAACATTTAAATTATTATTTTTCTTCCTTGTTTTGATGTTCTACCATAGGGACATACATGTTTGTACCAATGGTGCTCAGCAGATGTAGAAATAACATGCATGAAGACCAGACTCCACTTTCCACAAATAAGAAAAAAAAGTTGTAAAGGCACAGATTTAGTTGATAATGGTAGATAAATGCCTCACATCCTGATTTATTGGCTCTGTGATGTTCTCCAGTCGGGAGGGCACCACAGACCTTGACAGCAAACTCTTAGCAACGCCAGCTCGCAGTTTTCCATCAATCAATGCAGTGGGAAACAGCCACTTAGAGACATTGAGGCTTACACTCAGTTTTATCAGCGACACCAGGGACAGGCAACCCCTCTCCAGTGTCTCCCTGTGGGTATTTTCATTTATCATTGTTGTAGGCCTAAAGTGACTCTTACATTCTCCAGATGTAAAAATGTGTATCCATTACACATCGAATAAAACATTGTTTTAAAATGTGCGTCATACGTTACATCCTGATCTGGTTTTGCCAAACCTCAATAGCTGTGGTTACTAGTTTTGACTCTCCTTAGCTAGACTACCTATGGAAGGAGGAAAAACAAAGAATTTAATGTTTAGCGTGTGGACAGATTTGTTTTATTTCATCATCAACGCTGCTGGTTTACCACTATGCTTAATCGTTAGCAAGAAATTAGCATTATAAGCTTTAAATATGTGTTGGTGCTCTAGATAGACTTTTTTGGGGGGCTTAAAACAGCTCTTTTGATAGTAAAAGTTGCTGAACCCTGAGTTATACCATTATTGATTTATATTTCCTTACACAAACAGTGAAGAGAATTACAAATTCAGTTTGTTTTAACTATAATGATATACGAAAGAAATCTTTCAAACTAAACAAGATCATTTCCCTCAAAATTGTAAACGTCGGCCCTCAGGAGAACGGTGGCTGGTTTCATTTTATCATGCATAAAACAGATCTTTTGAATATTGGTTGGTAGTGTCCATAAAGTAGTGACATCTCAAAAAAATACAACACATATTTACAGATAAGTGGATGTTTGTCTTGCCTGCAGAAAGAGGTCAGACAAATCAAACAAGTTTTGATCACACCCTAAGAAACAGGAGCTACTGTGTCAGACAGTGTAGAGACACTCGGGGCAGTGGGGGAGTGTGGATTCTCCATTGGATGACTCAATAAGAATAGAACACTAATACCCCAATTTAATAGTTTGTGGATTAAATCAATCCAGCTAAGTATTATTCTTGCTGTATTCATCATACGACATAATCTCTTCCAATGACTCAAGGCGGCTCAAAAGTCCAGTAATCTCGTCTCAATCAGTTCATCTCATTAAATTCTAATCGCTTACATTCTTAGTGTCATTAAAAGTGAACGTCTATTTGTATTGAGTCAACCAGTGGAAAGATGGGAATTAACTGAATACCTTAGGCTTTACGGGAAGCTCTTTTTCCATTCTCTATGAACAACAAGCAAATGGTTTAAAAACATTACTGTTAATGTACAATGTGCTGATTCTCAGTCGTCCAGGTGACAAAAGCTAGTCAGATTTATTGTTTTAGTCTTGAATATGTTTCTGTATTCATCCCTTTACCAGGTCTATTGACTGGACCACACACTCTAAGTCCACCCACACAAGTATTTTCACTTAGGTTACGGATTGTGTGGCTGTGTACAAATCAAACATGACTGACATCTCCTAAACTGTCCTATTAGTACTCTTGCACATGCTAGGATGGGGAAAATTTACCCTGTTATCATTGCTATTATTAGTACACTGAGTTTTGTGGCATCATGTAATTCACAGCAAAGCAAAATGCCTGTGTAATTGTGCAGGACCTTTAACGTCTTTTAACGCATTTTTTGGGACAAATTGAGATTTTTTTTTTCATTGAGAACAATTAGTTTTAATTTTTGCAACAAAATTTGTTGTGCCAGCTAAGGCATGAGTTATGGAATTTATTTAGGCATCTAAAATACTAATGGAACATCAGTTTCATTACTCATTACCTGCTGCCTGTTTGCCAACCACTAACCTTTCCTGTAATTCCCTCCCACTCCCCTGTGGTTGTTATTCACCTTAACAGTGGTTACACACCTGCTGATCATTCCCCTGATCAGCTCCCCAGTACTGGCAATTTTCGCTCAGTTTCTTGCCAGTTTGTCTGTGGTGCTTGTGCCTTCATTGTTTGTTCATTGCTCCACTAACCTTAACAAGTTTTCACCCAAATCATGATCTTTCCCTAAACCTAACCAAGTGTTCTTTTGCACCTAAACCCACCCAAATGATCTAAAATGTTTTGTTATAGGACAACAATCTGTGTTTCAAAATGTGTTTAGGCATGTTCATTTACTTTTTAGTGTCCCCTTGACATTTTCTGTTGTTGTCTGTACTATTTGTAGCATTTCTGTTTTAGGTTGGTGTTTTCTGTAAATAAAGCATGTTTATGAATTTGGTTGTTCTTTGTGTTTGGCTGTGTATTCTCCCTTTGCAGCATTTTTTCTTAATGCTGAGAGTGGTTGTTCCTTGATTTTGTGTTTTTGTCTATTTACAGAGCCTTTAGGTCTCAGGACCACCGTAGATGAAGTTGCATTTAATAAAACATATTTTACATGAAAACTAAAAAATCCACCATCTTTGTACTTTGGATAAATTCCCATTAGAGTTCACAGAAGTGTTAATAGTCATTATGGGTATTATTCGCACTGGTGATTAATAATTTTGATGCTCTCATACTCACTAGTTTGTGTTGGTTGTTTCTCTTTATCTAAAATGTGAAAGAGGGGAAAAAGAGAAGCTGGTCAATGTCAAATGTACTTAACACACATTTGATTCACTTTCTAATTCTGAATCCGTACCTTGAGCCACTTTGACGGATTTCTTTTCAGCCTTCTCAGCTTTGCCTGCGAGAGTAGAGACAGCCCTATTACAGCCTGCCAAATAACTCTCTGTAATTGTGGTGTGCATTTAATATTCTTCCGTTATTATTCCCCTCTGTGTAATACAGCTTGACATGTCCCTAATTAAAACTTTATCATGCATAAAACTGCCCATTTAATCTCATAATCTGTGACTTTGTTTCCAACAAGTGTGATTTGTCCTGAAAGATGTCTGTAAAGACTTAACATTACCATAAATATAAAACTTTTGTTTAGAGAAAAATACTCTTCCACCGTTCGACTTATGTTTTTCGACAATTTCTTCCAGAGCCACAGAATGCTTTATACAAACTGTTGTCAAGCAGTCAATATAACCAGAAAATGTATTCTAATGCCTGGAGTTTGTGGAGCTCCCCACAACCCTTCTGAATATCAATGAAATCAAAAGGTTGTTCACGTGCATCCAGTAATCAAATAAATGTCTGGGAGCCATTAGGTTTTATTTGCAATGCAGAAAGTTGAATAGGAAACTTTGTTGCTTAAGTCATGAGAGCATTATTGAAACGTGGCTGACAATAAAAAAGGTAGGAGAGGCAGTCTTCTTAAAGGTCCAGTGTGTAATATTTAGGTGGCAGAAATGGGATATAGTATTCATAGGTATGTTTTCATTAGTGTATAATCAACTGAATATAAGAATTGTTGTGTTTTCGTTACCTTTGAATGAGCTGTTTATATCTACAGAGGGAGTGGGTCCTCTTCTACAGAGGCTGCCATGTTGAACTGCCATGTTGCACTGGCTCTAGACAGGGCCTTTCATGCTTTTCATGCATTTAGTTGCCACCAAATTTCCTTCTACATGGTTGGAACAAGAGGATGAGGCGATGGGGTTGTAATCTGCAACCTCACCACTAGCTGCCACTAAATCCTACACACTGGTCCTTTAAAAAAGCATTGATTTCTCTGCAGAAAATGTATTTTTAAACCAACAAATACAAGTGTACATGATAAACTAAAGTGTTCTCTTACTTTTCTTGTCCGCCAATAATTTCGTTCTTGTCTTGGCTGAAAATGAAAGGACATAAAATTAAGAACTGCAGATTTCAGTGCAAGAGTCCTGCTCAAAAGCAACACTCTGACGTGTTACCTGGTTCTTTCTCCTCCTTTGCCTGAGAGGTTACATTTGCCCTCCTAGCAGCATCTAGTCTCGTTCTCAGTCTGATCGGCTGTGGACGTGGTTCTGGATCTGCATCTGTTTAAGACAAATCAGATCAAAATTTATATCACTTGAACCAAATCCTGGTTTAGCATCTAAACTGGTGATCAAAACTATATCTTAAGTATGAAATGTCAGTTTTACCTTTCTTGGCTGCAGTTGCTTTCTCTTTGCTCTTGACAGGTGACGCTTCTGAGAGGAGCAACAACCATTAGTTTCCAATAATTTTTCATGACACTGACATGAATGATGATTGACTTTATGGGAATAAATTAACGTCAGTGTGTGTAGTTACCTGTCTTTTCAGAGCCTGATTTCCTCTTCTGTCGGGCAGCTGCAGGCTCTAACATAATGAGGAAACAATAATGATTAGTGGCCTGAATGATTTGTTTTCTCAGTGAAATATTAGCAGCTCTTTCACATGAAGGCGGGACGTTATTTGTGTTGGTTTTCATACCATTTTTGAATTTTTACACTGGCCTAAGGACGTTTTACCTTTCTTAGCAGCTGCAGCAGTTTTGGTTTTCTCTTTTACAGCTGGCTCTGTGAAAACAAATGCGACTGACTCAAAGATATAAAATAATAATGAATACAATATTAAAGCCATTTTTAAGTTATGGTGACTGCTTCTCAGTCTTACTCATACCCCAGTATGATATATTTCTAAGGAGCTCATTTTTTTCTTGTTTCATGTGAAGTACTCTACCAAAATGTTCATTACCTTTCTTAGCCATTGCTGGACTTTTGGTTTTCTCTTTTTTTGCAGTTGGTTCTGTGACAAAAACACTCAATAAGTACAATATAATGTCAAATTAAAATGAATGTTCCTTAAGATATAGTTACAGTGTTTATTCACCTTTCTTTGCTTTGGTGTCTTTGGAAACAGCAGCATCTAGAATTGGCAAAATGTGCTAAATTGTGTTATTCATATCTTACTGAAGTGTGTAATTCTGTCTGTATATTTACAGCAAAACACAGCTCAAATTGCTGTCTGTATCATTTGTAATACCACTCAAGTGTACGCTGTAGAAAACAGCAAATTACTGAGCTGTAAACATAAATTACCTTTCTTTGTTTTCTCTTTGCCCGCTGCTGGCTCTGAGGGGATAATTGGAGTGAAATGGCCGTGTAGAGTTAATTTTCCATAATGAATGCATTCATACAGCACATCGTGTCATTGTACATCACTGTTAAATGCTGCAGCTGTGGTTTGTTACAGGGGAATACGCCAGTTTATTGACAAATTAAGGATTCACTGGATCTGGAGAATCATACAATACCTTTTTCTAAATCAGCAGCATCAGTTTTCTTCTTTGAAGCTGGAAAATAGCCGACATTAATTATTGTTCACTGCAGTAATTAAGAGAAAAATAATGTGTAATGTGTTTGAGTTTAGCTAATAATTTGTACCTTTCTTGGTGGGTGCAGCCTTTACTTCTTCCTCAACAGTTTCTGGTTCTTTAAGAGAGAAGAGTTGAGGTAAGTCATGAAATTGAATTTCTGTCATACTGACTGAAAGGTTTACTTTCATGTTATAAAAAACATAATAAGTTGTTCTGGATAACCATCACTTAGTGTTGTACTAACTCTCCTCACCCTGGACTGGAGCCACAGCGGGCTGAGCTTCATCAACTGGAGTCTGGATCTCAGGCTGAACAGGAGCCTCTTGTTCTGTGGCTTCTGGCTGGACTGGTTCAACTGGTGGGACTGGCTGCACTGGTTCTGGTTGAGGCTGCATCACTGGCTGCATTGGCGGTGGGTATGGTTGATATTGTGCATAGAGCGGCTGCATCAAGGGAGGTGGTTGCTGCTGATACAGCGGCGGAGCTCCGGGATGGACGGGGTGGGCGGTCAGAACAGGAGCAGAGGGAGCTGAAATCATAAAAACATGTTTTTATTTTCCGGCGGAAGAGAAAATATTGGATCACACTGATCAAAACATGTCAAAGGAATCATCTTTTACTGATATTCTATCACGTTTAGTTGATATGACAACAGTGTAAATACCTGACATGGTTGGTGGAGGATACGGGTTGTCTGTGACAACGTGATGAACTGGAAGATAAAGAGTTTATTTGACATTTGGAGGTAAATAGAAGAGATCAGCAGATTTGAAGCAGGCTGTCATCGCCAGAGTTATAAAATTGGATATATATTTCCCAATAACCTTTCAAGCTGTTTTATTTGTTACTTACCGTACCAGCCAGGTGGAGACGGGCAGTAGACGGGTGCAGGTCTGCAAGGGCCAACTGAAACAAACATATGCATGTACTGTATATGCACTATATATATTTACAGATGTATACAATATAAAGCCGTTCCTTCAGGTTCCAGGAAATATAGCACTTTTTACCTTTCATAATCTATGGGATTTAGAATATTAATGCAAAATTTAAATCAACTAATACAAGTAATTAAAATGAGCTCGGGCTTTACCAGTTGCAACGATAAAGTGATGCTAATACAGAAAGCTCAGTGTTACTTTTACTTAAGTAAGAGTTACAATACAGAGTCATTTTATACTGTAGTATTGCTATTTTTACTTAGGCAAAAGATCTGAGCACCACTTACATTTGCTCAGGTACTTTACAAAACCTATAAAATCATAATGGAAATTAAAGGTATTATACCGTCTTGTGCAGATTCTGTGACCTCTTCTTTTTTTTTGGTCTCTGTCTCTGTCAAAGAAAAATGACCAGATGAAAAATAGACATAATAGATAATTTCTATTTGTTGTCCCACAGCCACAAATTGTGTTCCTCTCTCTCTCTATCTCTATCTCTCTCTATCTCTATCTCTCTGTCTCCCTATTTTTCCTCCTTTTTCTCTCTGAACCATCAGCCAACCTCTCTCCTCATCCTCATTCCAGATGTTTTCATCTGGATCTTCATCCTACAGGAGAATCAGCCTCTCGTCTTGTCTCTCTCTCTCACTCAGTGTGTTTATTTCTGTGTAAATAGTGTACTAGAGCCGTGCTTTCTTTGATATTGGGCTGTATTAATACAACTGAAAACAGTAGTCTTCACATGGTTTATATCTAAAGTACAATACTTTTTCTGACTCTTGCTACAGAGTGAGTGTGAATGTGATTTATAAGTGGCCGATTCATTCACTTACTTGCTTTGGGAGTCTTGGTCTTTTCCACTTTCTTGGCTTTTTATTGGAATTTAAAGGTAAAAACATTCCGTTAATTAAAGTTGTGACAGAAATTGTGAAAAAGTGTTTACGCACTAATGATGGACACACATGCCAAGTCAAACAACCGATCCAGTTATTTGTTAGCTTAGCTTTGCTTAGCATAAAGATTGGAAACATGGAGAAACAGTAAGCCAGGCTTTGTGCAGGGGTAACAAAATCCACCCAGCTCTACACCTCACTAAATAACACATTACTACCTTTGTTAGCTCTGTGCAAAAGAGCTAGCTTTTTACCCCTGTTTATGGCTAAGGACAGATATTTTATGTTCATATTAAGTCTGAGTACCTCTGAGAATAGTAGGAGTTTTCCTGATCCTCCTGAGTGTTGGTGGCAGACCTGCAATTCTGGGTAAAGCTGGACACAGCACATTTCAATGTATCACACCACAATAAGCGCAATGATTAATCATCACATTTAGGTGGTATAAATATGGTATGTTATAGTGCTTAATGTTACCTGTCTTTTTCGGCTTTTCATCTGTTTTCACAGCTTCATGGTCTTAAAAGTAGAAATGAAACAATTAGAAATGGGTCAAATTAAAGGTACTATGTTTCACAATGCTCCATTAAATGTTCACAAAGAGATTCATTTGAAATTAAAGAGAGTGTTAGACACTGAATTCTGCCTCTGAAGTAGCATTTACTGCCATCCAAATCATTATCATAGATAAGCTTTATATGTATTTATACTGAAATATATTTTTTTCAATGAGGTGTTACATGTGGCGGCTTTAATTGGAATGCCCTTAATTGAAATATTCAAATTGTTATCGGTACCTTTTTTCCTTCTCACAGCTGAAACCTTCCTCGGAGCATCTGTAAACACAAACATGAGATCAGACTTAAAGCTACAAGCTGAAGGACTTAAACACTGAGCTGAGTACAGTGATGTACTTCTGCTGTATGCTCCAGAAATCTGCATTTATCAAGTTTGTGTTCAAGCTTTACTAGCAGACAGGAAATAGAATTTAAACATTATTTTAGGGATTTAACTTAAACCAAAAACAGACGTGTAATCTAAATGCAACAGGTGTAAAACAACGTTAGATATATTGTATTTACAGTTGCATTAATTGTTAATTAATACATTAATCTGTATTAATTAAGTTAAAACTCCCTTCTCATATGATCTTGACACTACTTTCTCATCTGTCCTATTAGTCTCATATCAACACGAATGGCTGGAGACTAATTAAACATGATTTAACACAATAAGAAAGAAGATAATGAAAGTGACAGGATCAATAAATTGATTGAAGTATCATTTTACTTGCCTTTCTCAACCTTTCTCAAGTTGTTTGTGATGATACTATTTTTACTTGTAATGCAGTACCAAGTAATTGATGTGAGTGTGTCTTCCACCACTGGTATTCATCATGGAGCTTATTTCGACAATATTCTTCTTTTGACTCTATTGTGAAAGTGGGACTTTCATTCCAGTCATTTTGATCAATCTTTCTGCGAATCATACCGTTCTCCACTAGAGGTAACTAGATATTAAACAATACTTCACTTACTCACTAAATAAGTCCTTCCACTGTGTGTTCAGATAAAGATATCTAATGGAATATCACAAACCTTTTTTGTCTACAGTCTTTGCTGCAGTCTCTTTGGCCTTTGCGGAGTGCATGCAGGGACATGCTGAAATCACAGAGCATAAAGGTGAAGTTACAGAGGAGCTAAATGTGACACAACAGCTGTAATTATCTTCGATCTCTGACCTGCGGGTTCAGTCGGTGGTGCTTCTTCCTCTGGTTCAGGCACAGGTTTGATCACATCCACCGTCGCCTTCTCCTCATCGTCGTCTTCGTCGTACTCCTCCTCTTTTTTGTCTTCAGGTTCGTCTACAGTTTTCTTCAGTTCAGCTGCTGGCTCTTCGTCTTCTCCCTCATCATCCTCCTCTTCGAGGGGAGCAGGCTGACTCATAACTGAGGGTGAAAGCAGGAAGCGGAAGCTAATCAATTTGTATCCATTTGTAAGGTGGCTGATTACACTCATCCATCATTGTTATAGAGCTATGACAGACCGCAGTCAAGTTCTTTCTGCTTTAACTTCAGTAAGAAAGAAGTTAAAGGAGTAGTTTGAAATTTTACACCTTTATTTTGTACTATTTTGTATATTTTGCTTATATGACACAAATTTAAGTTTCATGTTCACAGCCACTCATCCTTCTCTTCTTTCTGGACAGGCAGCTTCAGGCTACTAGAAGATAAATCCAAAACCTGTGCTAAGAAAACTCCACTATAGTAGAATTCAAGCCAAAATATTCCACAGTAATCCTCAAACAAAAGACTTTCCAGAACTACAGCACACAATCACAAAACAAGAAGGTGTCAGATGAAAAAACAGCAATAAAAAACATTATGTGCAGGAAGAGGGCACAGTGAGGGCTGCAGCCCCCCTGCTGTAGAGTGAAATATAGTGGTATTATAATTTTACCATTAAAGGTCCAGTGTGTAACATTTAGGAGGATCTACTGGCAGAAATTGAATATGATATCCACAGGAATGTTTTCATTAGTGTATAATCACCTGAAAATAAGAATAATTGTGTTTTTGTTTTCTTAGAATGAACCGTTTTTATCTACAGACGCCGCACGTCACCTTTTATGATGGAGGCCGCCACATTGAACCGCCATGTTTATACAGTGGCCCAGAACAGACGAAATAAACACTGGCTCTAACTAGGGGATAGTTTCTCATTTGCACTGGGAAGGGGAGGGTGAAGCGGGGGAGTGCAACTGGCCTGCAACTACACCGCTAGATGCCAATAAATCCAACGCACTGAACCTTTAAATCTCTGATAAAAGAGATTTGAACTGTTTCTGTTGAAGTGCTTGTGGATACATTTCTGTTGTGACTCCAGAATGAAAACTATGGTGAATCTGAAGGACAAACATTTAACTGTTTTTTTAACCTGAGTATTCTACGGAAGCCCTGGAGGCCGTGAATACTTAAGTTTGTGTAGATTTTCTCCTGGTTTTATGATGTAAGAACAAGTAAAAAGAGTTTTGGATCATTTTTGTTGTAATCCTCATTTAAGAGCACGATTACCCTCGATACTAAACAGGATTAAAAGAATTCCTGTTTTCTTCCATGGGAGTTTTAATTTCTCCACGCACTCTAAACACAAGGTACTGTACATATATTGTGCAAAAGCAAGTTATGTAACAATAAATATATGTACATTGTTTTGTTCTTCAAGCTAATGAATGGCCCAGAAACCAACACAGAGTAGCGTATTGTCTCTGAATAAAACAAAACCAACTAAAACAACACTGCATTTTATCTCTACCCCCACATTTGTGCAGATTTTTCAAAGGGTTTTGCTGCCTGGCGGCTTTCATCCTGTGAATCCAGTTCTTTCTCTTTTTGTTGAAACAAAGTTTTTTTTTGTTTTTCAGTTTTAGCTGTTTCCCACAGAGTCAACATCTGAGCCTGTTGCAGATCCTCCTGATCATTCTGCTGTCAGATTATTTCCATGCAGGGTTCAGATTTAATTTTAGAACAAAGACTACATCTACTGGTTGTTTATTCTAAACATTAATAAATGTATCCAGGGCAGCACACCCCTACGTCCCCGCGCCCATGTAATAAAATAAAGTCTGCAGATGTTTTGATCTTTTTCATGTCTTTTTTCTTTATAAATTTACATGAAAGAAATATACATATGGGGGAGAAATAAGAGCAATTTAACATTAATATAAAGAAAAGGAAAATGATGTCGGCGTGGCTGAACTCAATTTATTTTATTCTATTTTGTCCTGTAAGCTGCATTGGACTGTAGCTGGCAGACTGAAGCTGCAGTATAACTGTGGTAAGGAAAGAAACATTAGATTTGTATTTGATTCATTTGTGAGTTTCCAGCTCCAGAGTCCAGCTTTTAACAAATATTATTTTACTTAGTCACAACTGTTTTTCAGCTTTCACATTAAAACGGTGTGGATTTTATTATCATTATTAATATTATTGGTGTCATATTTCCTTAAAAACACTACATATCAAATGTACTTCAGCTACAATCTAAGAATCTTCTTAGAAAAAGGGAAACAGTTCATATTGTATATGTTATATGTAATAGATGTGTGACACTCACCAGCTTCAGCCTCCTCAGATTCGTCTTCATCAGCAGCCTGTTTGATGTCGCCCTCATCCTCGTCCTCATTGATGTCTTCCTCAGTCTTTACTGCCTCCTCCTGGACAGCAAACGCTGCTGCAGTGGTAGCTACAAACAGATAGTGGTGGAGAAAGAATTTACATCCTTTACTTAGACGAAATACTATCACACTGTGAAAATACTTTTACAGTAAAAGTCCTGCAAATGTTACTTATGTAAAAGTCTTTAAAGGTCAAAGTACTCAGTCCAGGAAAATGTCCTCTGTAACTACTTTATGACATAATTAGATTATTATTACTCATGAATTAATGATTTTATTGTTCTTGATATGGTGGAACTCATTTTGAGCAATTTTGAATATGACTGCAATTAATGATTATTTTCACTGATTGTTTTGTTTGTAAAAAATCTGAAAATAGTGAGAAATGCCGTCACTATTACCCAAAGTGAGACCTTCACAATGTTTGCTCTGACCAACCAAAGAGTCCAAACCTCAAGGTTATTAAAAATAAAACACAATTATTAAAATAATTCAAAGGAAAGTGAAGCTTTAACCATTAAACATTTTTAAATGATAAATGAGTGAAACCGTTATCAATGTTGCTGCCTATTAATGTTTTCACTGTCAGTCAGCTAATTGATTAACTGACTTTAATTAATTGAATTGTTTTAACTCTACTTGTATATTTTATGTAAAAAAAATTGTGTGCAAAGTGAAATGAAGAGGAGGAAAAAGTAAAACGTGGCAGAGAAGAGAAAATAGTAAAGTAAAGTTTAAGTACCTCAAGTACAGTAGCTAGTTAAATTGCACCTCTGCACATAGAACAACTACACAGTGTTATTACTTTTATATGTATTGTGATATGAAAGTTAGGGAACTTATAACAACTGGTTGTTGTTGTTGTTGTTGTTGTTGTTGTTGTTGTTAGGATTTCATTTTTAGCACCTATTTTTTGTCCAGATGTTAAAAATAAACCCTAAAAATAGAATAAAGATATGTGTATCTTATAAATGCATATTCCTATATAAAATATAAATAGATATACACTAATCATTTACATTTATATTATTATTATTATATTATTGCTTTTATATAGTTATATATTATAAATATTGACTTCGATCATTTAGATGTTTGTTTGTTGATAAAGATAATTGAATGGACAGCAGAGAGCCAATCAGGAACATGTTCTCTGTCTATGGAATACTGTAAGACAACACAAAATTAAGGTAATCAATACTTCTGGACTTTACCTGCTAGCAAGACTTCATCAACATCAGCGCATCATCATCATCATCATCATCATCATCTTCATCGTCATCGTCATCCTCATCTTCATCCTCGCTGGCTACAGACTCGGATGTGAGCTCTTCGTCGTCTTTTTCAGTGGCGACAAAAGTTTCTGCGATCTCTGTTTCGTCTTCTTGATCGAAGGTGAACTCAAGAGAGCTGGCGTCGATATCTTCATCATCCTTATCTTCATCGTCCTTATCGTCATCATCTTTCTCGTCATCATCGGTCGTGTCATAGGAGATGTCGTCACTGAACACAGTCTCTCCAACAGATTCTTCGTCTGTTTTAAGAGCGACATCGTCATCATCATCTTCATCCCCTAAGACTCCACTGTCTGTACTCTCAAAGGGAGAGACTTCATCTTCCTCCTCCTCCTTCTCCTCTTCCTCCTCTTTGTCATCATCATCGTCATCATCATGGATGTCCTCTTCAATGACATCATCGGGTTTGTCATGGTCATCCTCGTCTTCATCATCGTCAAGGTCAACATGAACGTCTTTGTCAAGGTCGAAGTCAAGGTCATCGTCTTCATCGTCATCTTCATCGTCTGCAAACTGCTCAGAGGAGGCAACGGAGACCTCCTCGTCTGATTGGTCCAAATCATCATCATCATCATCAGTGTCTTCACCAACTTTGACGTTGTCTTCTAGGTGTTCATCATCATCATCATCATCTTCAACAGCAGGCAAAGGAGGAAGATCTTCCTCTTCAGGGAGTTTAAGATCATCAACTTCATCATCTTCCTCACTAGCAGCAGGAACAGGAGGAAGATCAAGCTCCAGGTCGTCGTCGGTGTCTTGTGCAACAACGTCATCGCTATCAGACGTCGTGACACCTTCAGCTAATCTGTCATCTTCATCGTCGTCTTCATCATCCAGCTCCACTCCCTCCTCATCACTGGAAAGAAGTGCAGATTCACTGACGTCCGAGGCGTCAGTGAATGAGTCGTCACCGGTGTCGTCTTCATCATGTTCTTCTTCGTCTTTGTCGTCATCTTCATCGGGCAGAGGCACATCTTCGTCACTGTCTTTGACGTCGACAGGTGCGTCAGAGTCAGAATCAGGAGACACGGCCGACTCTTCATCCTCAGAAGTAGAGATAGGTTCAGGAGAAACTTCATCATCTTCATCTTCATCAGCAGCATCTGCCTTCTCTTCTTCTTCTTCGTCCTCATCATCGTCATCTTTGTCAGCCTCTTCTTCTGCTGCTTCCTCTTTCACTTCATCTTCATCTTCATCAATCTGAGCTGCAGCTGCTTCAAGTTCCCTCTCATCTTCCTCATCTTCATCCTCATCTTCGTCAACCTCTTTTTCTGCTGCTTCCTTTTTCACTTCATCTTCATCTTCATCTTCATCAATCTCAGCTGCAGCTGCTTCAGGTTCCTTCTCATCTTCCTCGTCTTCCTCCTCCTCTTGCTCCTCTTCCACTCCTTCTGCCTTGTCCTCTTTCTCCTCCTCCTCCTCCTTCTTCTCCTCTTCCACTCCTTCTGCCTTGTCCTCTTTCTCCTCCTCCTCCTCCTTCTTCTCCTCTTCCTCCACAGCTTCAGCTGCCTCCTCCTCTTCCTCCTCCTCCTCCTCCTCCTCTTCTTCAACTCCTCCTATCTCCTCCTCCTCCTCAGCTTCTGCTCCCTCCTCTTCCTCCACAGCTTCTGCCCCCTCCTCCTCTTCCTCCTCCTCCATAGCTTCTGCTCCCTCCTCTTCTTCTCCCTCCTGCTCTTCTTCCTCTTCTTGTTCCTCCTCCTCCGCAGCTTCTGCTCCCTCCTCTTCTTCTCCCTCCTCCTCTTCTTCTTCCTCCTCCACTGCTTCTGCCCCCTCCTCTTCCTCCTCCTCTTCCTCCTCCGCCACAGCTTCTGCTCCTTCCTCTTCTTCTTCCTCCTCCTCCTCCTCCTCATATTCTTCTTCTTCCTCATCATAATACTCATCTTCCTCATCATAATACTCCTCTTCATCCTCATAATAGTCCTCCTCCTCCTCCTCCTCCTCCTCCTCCTCTAGTTCTTCCTCCTCCGCTTCCTCCTCCTCCTCCTCCTCCTCCTCCTCCCCAGCAGCCTCCACTTTGTCTCCCTCTTCTCCCTCTTCCTCTTCCATCTCTTCTTCCTCCTCCACGATTTCAATTGCTGGTGGTTTCGTCTGTGCATGCATTCCTACAACTATAAGAAACACGTTCATCTTATTATGTAAGAAAAGTAATCATCAAACACTGAATAAAGCTGCTGCTACTTCACGCCTGGTACTATTATTGACTGTTCACAGTAATGTATAGATATTTAAAACCAGTATAAGTGATTTATACTTATACTTTAAGTGAAATTCAGTCCAATCAGATCTGGTGAGTGAGCCACGTTGTAAATTTAAAGAACTACACTGTTTAGTGTGTCATCTAACGTGGATTGACACTGTGATTTGTTACCCAGTTATACTAGTTCTTTTAAAATAAGCGGTAAGACAGCAAAACACACCAGTTTGTCTCTCTTGGGGTTCATACATACATCATACAACCCCTCGAGATACTCCACTTTTACACTCTCAGCTGTCTCCGGTAAAACAATGGCAGGTATACGAACAAAACCCTAAAGTGAGGGGGCATGAATGAGCAACTTAAATGTTACACATCAATATCCGTAGTGATGTAAACTATTAAAAAGGAATCGTAATAAAATGTAAATTTGCAACAGGAGTGGAATTATTCTTACTTAAAATATATAATACAAGTGGTTACACAAGTTAAAGGTGATCAAATTTGGCCACCTGAGAGCAGCGCAACAAGCTGTACACATAAAACTGACAAATTATCATATTATAAAAGCGATATAGAAAAACTCAAACAGTTGCTTATTTAAACATCCAACAGATACTTTACCGGGCATTTGATACATCTTTTTATAGAAAAACATGAATTAGTGCGGCTTTAAGAGGGAAACAAACAGATATGTAATAGGTACAATAATTGAGGTCACAATACAGAACTAATCTCAGAAGTGTAAGAGGAAATTAGCATTCAGTCTTCCAGTCTGTAAACAATCAAGCTCAAATATGACTGTGCCAAACAACAGGTACAAACCTTTACTTCGGGATGGTAGAAATTCTCCTAGAACACAGAAAGGGAAATGGAAATCAGCAACATATCAAAACAAAACTAGATTTTACTGGAACAAGAAGGTTACTGTTTGGATGCCAATCCACATATTGTACATTTTAGTAGAAGTTTAATAGCTTAGTGAAAGCAGTTAGTGACAAACAGATAAGCCTCTTATGAGAAAGGTTATTAGGTCAGCAGACATACAAACAAACAAACAACACATACCTCTGACTATTGCTAGTATGGGATTTATGGTCGTTTCCTCCGTTACTGTTACACGAGTGAGGGACACAATTGATTATATCCAACTAGAGTTAATCTACACATTCATGTAAGAAGTGACCATAAAATACCTTTTGTTTTCTTAATCTTCACCTCCACTTCCTCCTTCTCCTCCTCCTCCTCCTCCTCCTCCTCCTCCAACCATCTTGAATCTTTGAGATCGTTCATAGATCGTGTCAGCTTGAAACTTTCACCATAATAACAATCAAGTCTTTGGCAATGTTGTCACCTAGATCCATGTTTGTCTTCCTACAGTCCCACAGCCACATTTTATGTATTTCTGGGAGCTTTTAATAAAACAACACAGTCACTGAACTATAAGTCTATGAAGCTAGAGGATTATTGCAGTGACATCAATATCCATCTTAATAATTACTTCAGTTTCTAATGTTTTCTTATAAGGTCAAGTGAGGACAAATTGCAGTACATGTGCAGTTCAGTGTAATGAATTGAATTAAAGCCTTTATGAGCTATTTTTTAGTTTAGTTGTTAATCAAAGCCTAATCATCCTACAAAGGTACGCTTAATATGAAACAGACTTTAACTGTTGCAAATACATTTCTGTGTACCAAAAATAACATAAAGAACAGCACATGTAATGCAGTGCAGCATGAACAAGACACTCATAGCAGCGAGCGAGGCTTTTTCATCTCTTTATCTGCAGCCGAATGGTAATTGCAACAGGAAATACATAAAAAATTGCATCAACAAACCTTTTTTTCTCACTGCGTATAGATTTCCTGGAGAAGAGGAGAGGATATCAGTAAATGTAATGTCATAATTTAATCAGATAAACTGTGATCCAGTGGTGGAGGACAAAATACTAATACCACACTGTACAAAAATAATCACTTTGAAGTAAAAGTCCTGCACCACCAACTGTAGATTAAGTAACAGGATACATAATACGGAAAAGGTAACTGTAAAAGTAATCATGGTGGCTGACAATGACTGTACCTTCATCTTCTTCAGGAGCAATCAGGTTGGCAGCAAATTTTAATATTACACTGATCACGTTTGTCGATTCCTCCACAGCATCGTTCACCGCCTTCAGGGGGTCTGAGCCGATCTTGCTGAGGCCTCCTGGTGGAGCAGGGACACGAACACAGCAGTTGATTTAGTCTCTCATTTAGCTTGATTGGAGTTGTTTTCCTGGCCAAACATTCAGTAAGAGTTCCTGAACTCTTACTCAAACATTTTCTCAATGCAAACAAAGCTCTCATTCAATGCATAGAGAAAATGTCCAAAGACATAAATTATAGAGCGAAGGGTTAAAGTGGGGTGGGGCCACTGAAGCTGATCCAAAAAGATATAGTCTGGATTTCAGAAATTGATCAATATTCTTTTAGGAGCAGGGATCCCACACCTTCCAGTTTAACCACTGCAAAAGGCTTTCTGTATAGCACATGGTTGTGCAAAAAGCATTGGAAAAATCACATTGACCCTCTTTCATCAAGCTATTATTCAAGAGATCTAATCTGCTTTTAAAAACATCAGAATATACTTTTTTTTCTCATCACATTTCAGTTTTAATACGTCATAGTCAACATGGGATTTGCTTCAAATTAAGGCAAACAGTCTCCCAGTGTTTGAATATAAACTTGTTTCCAAGACAGTTTGATGAAAGAGGGACAGACTTCCCAGAGCAAACACTTTTGGAACATTTGGAATCAGCACATTTAAATCTAAAAATCCAAAAGTTTATAGAAAAAAGTGGGTGGAAAAACTAACTTTTTTTCCTTCTTTAGATATGAGTCGATGCACATTATCTCTGTATTCAATACATTGTTAATTTGCATATTTTATGCAAATTTAACAGTTTTTAGAGTCCTGAATGTAACCAGATCTATGCAAAAGGAAAACAGGCTAAGTTAAAATAATAATATAGAAAAAGGAAAACAATAGACAGAAACATATAGCAGTCAAATGCATTTTTAAGGCAGAGATTTCAGATGAGATTGATTTATTTTATTTCCCAGGACCACTTTGTTAAATCAAGCTCACCTGAAAAATATTCAAAATACTCACACATTTCAACCTTTTTTTCTTCGCACACAATATTGGCGACGTGAAAAATACGGGATACACATGCTGAAGAATTTATACAGAAATATCTCTTCTACACAAGCTAAACTACAAACTACCCATAACATCATGTTACTGTTTATCTGAAAGGAATACTGTCAATGTCAAGCAAGATGGCTGAGCAGAAATAAAGCAGCTTGAAGCTCACCTACAGGCCTTTCTAACATTGATAGCTAATATTAGCAGTCAATGTTAGATAATTAGTAGTTTTTTATCAGCGACTTTAGAAAAAGCTTCTGGTCTGAGGGGTTAGTAGCAGATAAAGTGCCTTGCCTCTACGGCCTGATTCCTTTAAAACCTTCCTGACGACAGGAGGTGGACGACCTGGTTGGATGACAAACACAGTGGCAATAAGCAAAGACATTCAGCACAGTGGTGAAGCACTAAGAGAAGAAAGGGAAGGAAAGGAGGGAAGGTGCTGTTAAATGTCTGTGGCATGATGATAAACAGGTGTAACAGGCAGACTACTGTCTGTCCTTGGTAAGAAAACATTAATTTTAACAAAACAAACAACAAACGAGAAGTTGATTTAATATCAATGCACATATTGATTTGTGCTCATATTCTTTTGTCCTTTGCTTCAAGATGAAATTGTGAAAATGAAAGATATTTAAGAAGTATTGTACACTAGGGAAAAAGTATGCACTGCTATATGTTTTGCTAGGTTGTTTCAGTTTCTTGCAGTTTCTTCAAAATCAAGTGTAAAAAGAAATGGAGCAATACAGGAAGATGTTTGTGTTAGTGTTAGAGAATCGAGTAGAGTTGAACACAACAGAAATTAATGAATGAACTGTTTGTTTTAATGTTGTGAGGAGATTTGGAACCAATGCTTGCAACTTAGTTATGTCACTGTTAGAGAGAAACATATGAAGACGTCAAATTAGTAGATTTTATACCAGGACAGTTCAATGTGCTGTACACAATCAGAAAGAAAGATACAAAAAACAAAACCTATATATGTATACAGTATATATATAAAGAGAGAGGGGAGGAGAGACATTTCAGCCCACAGTTTCCCCTCTTCCTCGTTTTATTTGTGTGGTTGTTTTGAGGGAACCCATTTAGATACTGCAGCAGTCCACTGTTTATTGAGTTATGAAGTCTAGTCACTGCTCTGAATGGTAAAACAGCAAACTAATTTGCACTAAACTAATTGTACTAAACTTAATTTGTTGGTGCGTTAAAACTACATTGATGCTAGCACAGACGTCTTACATGTACCACGATGTAGAGTTTCTGCTAATAGCAAAACAAAAAAGGATCTGTCCAGCCTGTTGGCCACTTAGAAGCCAACTTAAATGACAATTGTACAGGCAAAATAGCAGAAAGTGGTGGGGGCAAGTGCTTTACAGACTCTCATGCTACACACAAGCTGCCCAACTATATTGGTGAAGGTTTGTATGCAGCCTGAAAGGAATACCTGCAGACACTAGACTGTACACTGACAACTTCGAGTTTCAGGTAATATTTTTAGCGTTAACATTATTCTGAAAAGATGCTAGAATTTAACTGTCAAAGACCAGTTGTGATCTTTATAATAAGAATTGAAACACAACAATATTCATCATAAAGTACTAGGTATCGTTAAAGGAACTTTATAAAATTCAAATGATAAGTTTCATGCATTAACAAAACAGGGGTTTACTTAGCATCTTTGTTTTCTGTTGTACTATCGTTATGGAAACATAATTTGTTATATATATAGAATTCAAAGCCTTTAAAATGACCTGCACTCAGAAATGTACAACATATTGCTTCAATAACTTGCACTTTGCAGTAGAAAACAGATCTACTGAAAATTTCTCAACACACTCATATCTGTTTGTACAGTAAGTCACACCATATGCACCATATTGGTAGCCCAATGCCACACTACCTGGGTGCTAAACCTTGTTGTTGTTCCAAATTCTGCAAAGTGCTAACCCTCGAAACTGAGCTTATCTGGTAGCCATACACGAGTGAACCCACATATGGCCCTCTGGGGCCAGTACAGAGACTAGTCTGCCAACACTTTGCCACAATCTGCTGGATTTAACTGGCTCAGTAAAAGCTGGCTGGAGTATGAAAATGTATATTCATGAACTTCACCCAGGAGTTTATATATTCCTCTATAGTTCTTCTTCAGTGTCTATGAGTGAATACACACGCTGAGAAACCGAGAGGTGACAATGGGCAGAACTGCAGATGGACAGCAAACACCTCTCTCCTTACCTGAAACTGTCTTGTAGTCCATCAAATCAAACATGATGACAAAAACACAAGACCATGTAATGACGAGAGCCAGAACCAAGATCCAGGCCAGTGGAGAGCTGAAGGTAGAGTGGAGGTCATCTGTAAAAGTTTTCTTGGTCCCTCGCACAGGCGGCGACCCGGCGTCTCCGTTCTTACCTTCGATGACCATGGTGGTGGTTGTCGATCGCGCTGAGGAGCAAAGACACTGAGATCAGATTCAGTGCGTGAAATATGTGAACAGTTTTTATTTATGTCACAAAATGGGAAGTGATATTATGTTAAACATTTATTGTGTTGCCTGAAGCTTAGTTAGATATCAATATATTATTACTCCATTACACCCACCGTGGAGGTTGTTTTCTGCACTGTCTGTTTGTCTCTGTCAGCATGATTATGTAAATCCTAATGTCCCGCTTTTAATGAAATTCGGTAGATTGGTGTAGCATGGGCCAAGGAAGAACCCATTCAATTTTGGAGCGTGTCCGAATCACATTGTTCACTTTCCTTAACATTGTGAGATAGGGCAGCTGTAATACAGATTCAAGATAATCTTGTGGTGAGCAGGTTCATGTAGGATTTTCTTTCTATAAAACTACACCGACAAACCATAGCCGGACGTTAGCTACAGGGTGGGAAACTAACTTTTTAAAAGTTGAATATCTACCAGCCTGATAAATCTTCAGAGTAATCAACAACTCAATAGTGAATCATTATTTTGAGTCTCAAATCTAATCTAGCAGTCTCTTTTGGCTGGTGGCTGGTGCTAATTTCACCACCAGCCGAGTGCCATCTGGTTCCATAATATTAAAAAAAGGCAGACATCTTTACGGACGATATCTCCAAAAGTCAGCATCTTACAGCAAAATGATCTAGATGGATAAATAGTACTACAGGTAAGAGTAAACATATAGATTTGGGTTTTTGGGGTGAACCTTCCCTTTAACATTAGTATTAGTAGTGATAGTAGTTGTAGTAGCAGCAGTAGAGGTAGTAACTGTATGAAAAGATCATGGTTGTAAGTTGGCAGTTCCACGCAGCTAAAATTAAAGGAGACTGGTCCAACAGTATAAATCCTATTTTCATGGAGGCTATAACGTTCAATGTTTAACTGAATCTTTAATATTTATGGTGAGTTTTAAAGCAGCTGTCCTGTAAACTTGTGGTTTCCTAATAGCTGTTATTTTGTTCACTAGATCCATATTAATAAGGGCAGGCTAAATATTATCAACCTCTGCACAATACAGTTCAATGGCACCACAAACTATAACCTCCAAAAGTTGAAGTAGTAGCATAGTGTATTTGTCATGTTTTCTTTTTTGTGAGAATGTTGAGATTACCTAAAAATGATAACAATGATATGAAGATTTGACTGATTACATGATTTTTCTTACTGGCATAAAGAACACTGTTACTAATTTGACTGCTACAGTTTTCATTTTCACGTCATAATTGTCTCCAGTAAAAGTCTTACATGCCCACTCCAGTTTTCACCTTTAATTGGGTGTCTGTTTGGCTCACTGCGTGGAGGTAGTCTTGCGATTTCTAAATGCAAAGTAGTTGCTTGAATTGTGGTGAGAAAAGCTGCTAACAAACGTATAACCCTTACTCTAGGAACACAATGTTCTCTCCATTCTCCTCCATAGTGAAACAAACTACAGATAACCACTTTTTCACATGGAGAGAACTTTTTCAGTCATTGAAAATGGAGCATTACATAGTGCGACAGTGTTTACAAGCACACAAATTCTGCATTTTAACACCATGTCACCACCCTAAAGACTTTGGCTTGCTTCTGCAATGCAGGTTTCTTTATGAACTAATTCTTTCCACCAAGTTTTAGCAACAAAAGCTGAGAGAAAGTCTCCCGTATCTACTGGAAGAAGCATTTAGACTAGTGTAGTGAAAGAGAGTTATGTTAGGTGGTTTGTATTAAATACTGCAGAGTAAAGTTTCTTATTTCTTTTTTTCATTCTTTCTTGTTTAAACTAACCAGCTTTGTGTTTTGATTATGCAAACACATTAACATAACTTTCTCAGTACATACACACATTTTCAGCATGTGTTGGCTACATTTCCTTTCTAAACCATATTTCAAGCGACATTTCATTTCAGCTTTTTAGGGGGAGAAAGTGTGTACCTGAACCTGTGTGGGAAGCGGGTTGTGTGTTGAGTACCATATATGGTCAGAAGGTTAAACATTACATATCTGACAATGTTATTAACAGACTCTCTATGCTGACCCAGTCTTGCATAGTCTTGTTATTATAGCCAGTGCAATCTCTGTTGTGGTTTCATTTGCTTTACAATAGCTATATGGTTGTATGGTTATATTTAGGATTAAAAATAGGCAGTTTACTGTACCTGCAAACACTTCTTTTCAATACTGCATCATTCTAGATTATTTTTCAGTGACATATAAGATAATGTATTTGTTTTGTCACATAGACTCAGTACAGTGTAGTTACTAATGTCACTGTGGCTGTGTCGGAAAAGCTCAGGCCACCTGTTGACTCTCTTCAGCTCACTGCTGGCAGCTACTGTAGGTTACTCCATTACTGCTGACTCCAACAGCTTAGCAGCACTCTAAACACACACAGACACACACACCTCTCCGTCTAACGTCATTACAGGTCACTTCAACATGAGTGAGTGAGCACATACGAAGCCTCCCAGTGGCTACTGTAGGTACGATTTCTGCTATAGGTATGAGAAAGTGTGACTAAAAGTCCTGAAAAATGAGTAATAGTTGGGGTATTTTCAAAGAATACCAAACACCCTCCTCAAACACAGCACCAACACCACAAGTGTGGCCTAATAATACTAATTTCAGTCTTTCCGCTCGTCCAGAACAAGATATTTGAAAACTACTGACCACACTGCAATTACATTTGCTATATAAAATGATCCCAGAGGATTTTGTATCACTGTGAGATTTTCACCTTGCCAACTGTTAGTATCAACTAATTGCTAAATTAAGACATCATAGTTCTCTTAAAAAAATGTAAAATGGAGGATGAGGAGTTGCTGTATAACATTCATTTACATTTAAATGTAATCAGAATAAAAGTTAATGAGTTACTTAAATTAAACTTTAAAAATAACATTTTAAGCAGGTGGTTTAATAATTACAGACACAATCTAATTTGACCTACGTCATGCGGGCAGCCAATGCTAACAAACAATAACCGTCAATAATGTAAAAAAAAGTTTAGACTTAACTTACAACCTGTACTAAGTAAGGCTACAACTTAACTTTTAAGGAAGAAGTTTACTTGTAGCACAAGACATCAGTCTGTGACTCAGACTGACTGGAGACTTCCTACTGTAGGTATTCACTGAAGTCTTTCTGCATACATCCTGCTAAACTGGGAGCTGCCCAGTATAACCACAGTCCTCTGTTGTCTAACAACCAGTCACAGTGGAGGCTAATAGCTCACACAGTATTGTTGTTTAGAGTCTTGCTTTCTCTACCAGGCTTTTATGGATAGATTTAAACCACATTCAGCCATCTTGTATACATGTAACCTTTGTCTCACCTGTGGGGTTATTACTGCTGCTTCTTTTTAAGGTTTCTACACTCAAGTTCATGAAAACCAGCATCAGCCATCAGACTAAAACCTTTGGTATGGAAAGCTTGAGTCCTTAAGATTCAGAGGTTTTGTGGTTCCTGGTTTTGTCATGTTGGGCAGCACTGTGGCAAAATTCACTCCACAACTGCTCATTTAATCATACAGCAATAAATCACTGAAATCTTAAAACCATCGGGGTTTCCACTGACCCTATGACCTTTCCTCAGCTACAAGAAATATAAAAAACCAAATGGCCAGAATTTACTAATTTGCATTTTAGTCACTTTGCAAGCTTCTTCTCCAGCAAAACCTTCAGATCAGATGTCAAAGGTACACATCCAGTGAGTACTTTTTGCACATTGCTACTGAGCATCAAAACATTAATAACTTGTAAATTTGACTTTGAAGCCTCTTATTCCAACCCAGCTCTAAATGGTTTGACCAGCCATCCATGCACGATTCCTCCTTTTATGGCTGACCTGTCTCCACACTGTGGACGACATTTCTGTTGTTACTCTCACTGGGTATCCATGACAGCTCAGCTCAGTGCAGTCATTAGAAGCGAATGGTTGCCTATTCAGTCAAAATACAAGGAAGTGTAGTCATAACATTTCCTTAATGAGTGCGCAGAGCTGAACGAAGTGCAGCAGAGACCTTTTTATGATCCAGCTGGTTGAGCATGGTGGTGCTATTAAACAGGTTCGGAGCTGGATTTAAGCTACTGTTTCCATGTCTCTAGCTGGCATGAGTGTTGTGCATGTTTGTGTCGATACTGCAGACTGTGCACTTAGACAGTTTAGGAATCAGTAATGAGTGTGAGGAAATGGATTACAGGTCATCGTAAATACAAAGTGCAGACATCACATCTTTAATATTGGGGTAGAGTATATCTATCCCATGTCTATCTTTCTGATTTTTTTTATATTTCCATAACAAAAGCTTTGTAATGAACCCTTACTGACCTCCCATGACCTCCCATGATTACTCTTAAACACACAAAAACAGCACAAGAAATTGTATATTAATTTGCTGTTGACATAAATACTTTTAGATGGAAATGTAAGAAGCACTAATGTATCAATGAATCAAGCTAGAACTTACAGTTTTGCACAACATTTTATTATTCAGAGATTTCTTGCAAAGGAAGCCAAGTGCATTTTGCTAGTAAAAAATCTCAACGTTATCATGAGATAACAAATTAATCTTGTGATCTCAAAATATCAAATTTTGTGATCTGTACTTAACTGATAGTACTTTATAACCTCTAGACACCAAACGGTTATCACATTTTTATGTTTTAAGCACAACATTCTGAGATAAATATTCATTAATGTTGTTATCTCTAACAGATTAATGGGCTTTCATACTTTTAAAGTCTGTCCAAGTCAGTTCTCATGGCCATGTGTGAGGGAGGAGACATCCTAGAGGAAAAACATCAACAGTTAAAGAGCATAAAGTAGGTAGGCCTATAATCACCATTGGTTTTCTTGTAATAAGGAGATAATTAAGAGGTAACCATGAGACCATAAGTGGATATCCTGCCATAATTAGATAAATGCATCTTATTTTGGAAAATCTTTTTTGGAAGGTAATTCTTGAGCTTGGGAACAATTGTTTCGAGGTTGACAAAATAATCTCACAGTTTGTACAGTTGTCATGGCGTTCTCAGTTGTCATCTCCCAACTACATCCACTGATGAAGGCCTTAAGATGTGTTTTAAAGCTCCAGAAAGGCTCAATATAATAAAAAACTTTTAGTCTTGTGTATGTATGTGATCACAACAAAACTGAGGACAATCATCTTGTTATTCTAATTAAGGTGTAATTAAGTTATCCTGGTTGATTAGCTCTCTTGTCAGGTCGAAGGTGGGCAACTTAAATATATTTTTGGAACATAAAGCTATATTCCAACTGCGACCTGTCTAATTATCTTATGTTAAAAACAAGGCCTATCATAAAGGTGTAAAGTGTCTAACAAGTGCAGAGTTGTGGGGCTGTCAGTAAAGTAGGGCCTGCACACGCCCACTCGGTGTGTGTGTGTGTGTGTGTGTGTGTGTGTGTGTGTGTGTCATGGGTGTGTAATTAAGCTGTGATCTTCATGAGATCTCTAGATAACAAGCTTTAATAGCAACAGCAGCTGCTTTCTGTCAGACCCTCCTGTTTGTTCTATCTCATTATCCATGCACAGAGGAAACACCGTATAGCAACAGTATCAGTTGATGTGGTTACATGCAACAAGATGCACAGTGTTGATGCTGACTGAACCTATACGGCACTGTTGATGTCATAGGGGTTCAAAAGCTGCATTGCAAATAGCCGATACATGATAGCGCCATATTTTTAGATACTTCTTATCATGAAATTCCCCTACACACCAGCACAACATCAGAGGGACTGTGTGCAAAAACAAAACATACAGAGCCCCGCAAGAGCTTTTATACATTATGAAATCAGGTTGAAATTGACTAGCTATACTTAATGTGATGATACTTTACCTTCAACTGCTTCAGTCATAGTTAGAAAATAAAAGTTCTATTCCAACAGTAAATCCCTTGTGCAGATTATGTTGCCATGAAGGCAAATATTTACTGTAGATCCTCAACTCCTCCGCGCGATTAAATCCCAGTGTTTAATTCCAATGTGGCAACGTCACGTGAATGGCTGGTGCTGAAGATACGTAAAAAACCCCAAACCCTCTGGCCACCAATGGTAATGCTACCACTCTTTTTCGGTTCTCATTACTTAAATCTGCATTTTCTCCTTCTCTTGTTCCAGAAGTCAAAAACTTTTCAAGGGTCCAGATGATTGCGAGGTGGTCCAGAGAGCTGACTTCCGTTCCAGTGGACGAGGCTGGGGGAGATAGACAGAGACCAAATTGAGGCGGTCACTGTCTTTGCCCTTTGCCTGCTTGGGGCTAGGGTTGTAGATAGAGCAGCCCCCCCCCTTACAGCTCTGACAGAATTAGATCAACCACGGGGACTGGCGCACGATGGAAGGGAAAGAGGGAAGAGAGAGTTTCAAGGTAACTTTATCCTACCAGCCAATGTTGCTGCTGGAGTCACATGATTAGAGTGTGGATATTGATTTCATACTTCTAAAAAAACTGTTGGATCTAAATCAAAATCTATGAATCAATCTTTATTTGTTTAAAACTTTTTTGGATTAGTCTGAATAAATCTCTCAATCTAATTAGGTACTGTTACATTCATGCCATGTTTCTCAGCCTCAGGCCCTGAGTTATTCTTAGAGCAGCTCGCTGCCGCTGGTATTCTGCTTCGCCTTTTTAGGCCAGAGGCGTGACCTTAACGCCCCAGCCCCCCCTTCATGTTAACTAATCCCCCTCCTCCAGACCTCCACTGCTCAGTACAGAGCTGTCATCAAGTGGAGAGAGGGAGGGAAGATCAGAATGGCTCATGTGTAGGCAATATACTCTAGGTTGAATCAAATGTACAGTGTTGTCGTGGCACTGCAAGTAAACAACAGGACTCCAGGCCTCAAACAAACTATAGATTATATGTCATGCCATCCAACCTTGTCTAAAGGCAGAAGTGTTTATACTCGTTGTGAATGGCCACACTTGAAGCTAGAGCATAAAACCTTCCATCATAGTCTTTATGCACCCTCCCACCCTGATCTCTCTCCAAATGTTTGCTTGTGTTTGTAGACTTGATGGATTGTATAAATGGGAATAACAGCACACTGAACAGTGTCTAGTCAAAAGGCATTTATTGTGTTGTACATTTGCACAGCTGACATGCTTCACTGTTGTCTTGCCCAAAGCTGAATATCCATCCAAGTCACTCTGGAGCAGTTTTTTTTCTTTTTCTTTATTTGACTCCATTTACTATCCCTTCAATCCTGACTGGACTCTGTCATATGTACCATGATCGTGCCACCACTGTTCTCCACTTTAGGGGTGCTATTGGCCTGGAGATGAGCTGGACCTTAAAGTTAAACTTTTGTACATTCAAATCCAAAGGTTGTAGAGCCAAAATGGAAACTGAAACGTATCAATCTTAATTTTTTACTTGATCTTTTTTTATAAGAATCTGTCATATTTGTTTGTTAGCTAGTGATGCAACAAATTAACAGAGACAAGCTATCACTTCGTAATCACTTTTATTCATTTGTATTCATTATTTATGAAGGAAAACAATGAGCACAAAGCATATGTCACTACTATACTACACTCACATTTAAACATGTACATGCCACAGAACCTGCATCTCTAAAGCACAATTACTGGGGTTGTAAAGTAACTTTTGTTGTAACTCTTTACATTCTCACAATGTGTTCAGTCCATCTTAAAACAATACTGACATGTCCATTGTACATTGCAAGGGTTATTGGGGTTTTTGGTAACAATATACGTCTTTGTGTTACTACTATGTACATTCCTCCATGCAGCTCAGCAAGAAAAACACTGTGCATAGTAACACAAAGAGAAAAACTGTAAAAGAATGGATTTTGTTGCCCATCACTTACATTAATCTCTTTAGGAAGGGACTATTTGGGGCAAGTACAGACAGGACTTTTTTATTGTACATTCAACCATATCATAACTGGTTTAAGATTGACTTGAAAATAATGTCAACCCATCCTTGGGTGAGTTTGATGTGAATTACATTTTTTCTTCATTTTTTCATCTTTTCCACATCCAGCCTCTCGCTGAAGGCCTGTATCTGCAAATCTGTTATCCTTCTGCCATTCCACCTGTATTGTGCAACAGTTATAATATTAATATTAATGATCAAAACTTCACAACTATTCTGCAATAATAACAATAATCATCCCTTTATTACACTTGCTTCAGATGGTTACACATGCATAACCAAGTGTTTTTGTGGTAATATAGTAAACTTCCATTGGATTTTGTCATTCTGTTGTGTCCTCACACATCTTCTTGTAAACAGACTTATTTATTTTTCTCTTCAAAGGCAATGACAGTGCCAATGATCACCATCTGACCACGATACCAGAACCTACAATCAGCCTCCAATTGTTCCAGAATCCTAAAATAAATAAAAACAGAGCAATGAGTCATATGACAACCTTAAAATGATCAGGCTCACATATTAGATTAATAATGACATCAGTGTTCCTTAATGAAAAGAGGATGACAGAAAATTCAAGGTTTTTTTACAATCTCTGTTAAATGTAAGCCTGCCCATTAAAAGTGTAGAAGTAAATGAAATAGAATAGAAATTATGTGCATAATGCAGGTGAATATAATTTCAGTTTATGTGATTTGAGTACAGGTTATTGCAGCACAACAGAAACATTTATTTTGTAGGGGAAAGACACAGAAAAGGCTGTGTGTGGGCGCATATGGAGCCTTTGCTTTATTATTTTACACTCTTACATCAGTAGGCGCCCAACCTAACTCACTCTTGGTGTTTTGCGTTAATCGGGTGGTGGTGGCCTGGGATGATATCAAACTCCCAGCCTGAATTATTGTCCCAGTCCACCCCTGGTTTCACCTACACACACAAACCTACTTGGTTGCAATCTGCAACTTCACCACTAGATATCACTAAATAACAGTATCAGAGCACTCCACAGTGATTGTGTCATTGTATTAGATCAGTAAATCTAGTCTTTACCTGTGAAGAGGAAAATCCCAAAAACGTCTGCATATCAAACTGTGCAACATCAATGCCGTTACACTTCAGGAGTTTGTCCTCCTGTAACAGACAGTCGGTGCGGTAGACGTTCGGGTTGTCCACCAGTCTTCTGCTTTCAGCAACAACTTGGTCAGGGTTGAAGGTGTGATGCATCACCACCAGAATTGTTGGTTTCCCACCTGTAAGCACAGAGATAACACAACCAAATGTTTTTTAATCTTTTCTATATTTTTGATGCACATTTTTACATACATATAAACTACATTGTAGATTGTATTTCTTGCCATGGTATTTTCTATATAATAATTTAGAGGGGTAGAGTAAGTAGTTCAAAGCAGTATTGATACTGCTCTAAAAATCAATTAATTTATTTTTGTTCTTGTTATTGTTGTTTTCACTTGGAGGCAGTGGAATAACAAAAAAATTGGAAATCTTGTTGGCAAACAACTGCCTATTCATCAAAAACTCCCTGGTATTCCTCTTTGACCAATCAATGTGAAAATGGGCAAACAATGACGAAAGGATTTTCCTACCTGGAAGTTTCTCCAGAGCCTCGCTGATGTCCGCTTCAACTTGTGACGTGACAGGACAGAAAACCAGAAGGTAGTCACTTTCTCCAGAAGACTCCACCTCAGTTTGGCCGATGCCTTTAAGCTTTTCAACGAAGGCTAGATGAGCCCGATGAGTTTCTCCCGCCAAGATGACAAAGAACTTTTCAAACGACACTGAAGACAGAGAAGAATATTTCATTATTGATTTTATATAGTTTTGTGGGAAAGAGGTAAATAATAATAAAACTTGTGATTGATTCTCTCAAAGTGTAATCTAAATTGTTTTCTTTCCTGTGTTTATGTTGTCAGGATACTAATAAAGTTCAGTTTTAAAAACTTTTACCAGGTGAAAAAAAGTTTTCCAGGATATTTTTCTTCTGAAGCAAAAGCAAACTAAGAGTAAATATTAACAAATACTAATAATAAAGAATAAATACATTTCTAGCCAAACAAAACTGCACAACTTACTAACACACAATATATAGTACAGCATTAATCTTGTGTTTAGAGTGCATGGAGAAATAAATCTCACCAGGAAGAACACATAAATGCTTTTAGTTCAGTTAAAAACACTGATAGTGGTGCACTTCAGCCTCTTGTGGCCAAAATGAGTATTACAATAACACATTTTTTCACCCAAATGAACCTGGCAAAACCTTTTTGAGGTGAAAATGAGGTGATGAAGTGGAAAAAGCTTATTTTTTGTCATAAACAGGAGAGAATTAACTATTTAGATCAGACTTTGTTGCACCCAATTTTCCCTCAGAGCGTCTGCATACATCATCAGACCCATATGAAGGAGAATCATGTTTAAAAAAGATCTTGAGCTAGATTTAGCATTAATTAGAACAGGTATTTTACACAACTTTACTACTTTCATTAATAAGTTCAACTTAAAATCACTATGTATGTAAATTTAATATAATTGTAGCATCTTTAAAATTATTTTTGTGTAAGTGGAGGTGTTCAATATATGAATGAACTACCAGGGTGCCCCCTCAATTACATATGATTATGCCACACTTTGAAGGCATCAAGACTTTTGACCGCTATTTTTAATTTTTATACAAACCTGATCTGATATGTTGGGGTGCGCCCCCTCACCTCTTTTATTTATCTTATACTCTAATGTGTGCCAATGCCAATATGTGAGACATCATATTATCAAGATCCACAACGATTATATCATCACTTCACGTCAGTTGATCTCCATTTATAATATAATTATTAGTAGTAGTAATTAGTAAGAGCAGCTTTAAATGTTATATTGTAATGACTAAGTGTAGTTTATTTTCTTTAACACTGAAATTTTGCAGTCTTGACTCAACAAAATATGTCTTCTATTTATAAAAACAGTACATTTGTTTTCTCACCAGTTGCCTTTTCCTGGTCCTTGATTCTGATAAAGAAAAAGAGAGGAACCTTTAGTCAACCTTTAGCGAGACATGGGAAAGTTCAATTGTGTTGACAAAATATAGATTGTAAATCATAAGTAAATAGGAGGATAAGTGACAACATACCCAGATCCTATGTACCCAATGTACACTAGTCCCAGCACTACACAAAAGAAAACAAGCTTCCAATGGTCCCTCGGCACTAAAATAAAAAAAAACAAGCAATGAGTCATCTGGAATCATTTACTACTAATAACTTTACTTTGCCTGTTTACCATAACCCCTGTGTGTTGTAAACAAAACAGCTAGCCAACAGTTTACAAGGATGTAGAGTAAAAATGCAACACACCTACTATTAAACATTATGAAAGACTGGTTCAACAGGTTTTTGGCCGACTGTTTTAAGGAGGTGGGGCAAAAACAAGAATGTCATGTGCATCCAAATATAGTCAGTGCTGGTTTCTATCTGCGGTTCAGCTTCAAGGTTCAAGTTGTCATGTTTTGTGTTACAATCCAATCAAGAACACACCTACTATTAAACATTATGAAAGACTGGTTCAACAGGTTGAAGGCCAACTGTATCCAATCAAGAAGATATAGGCTAGATTTGAATGTACATATGGCCACATGAGTGCTGATCTGAAGTTCATGATTACAGTCACACTTACAATTGTACAATTTCTTGCCATTTTGCTGGATAAGGTCCTGAAAGAAAGAAATTAAGAAACAAACAAACAAACAAACAAACAAATTAATAATTATGTGCATCATTTCAGAGGTGGACTGCAGTATTGATTCCTTATCCCTTAAAATCATAATATCAGTGCGCTCAGCATTGATTGTGTGTGAATCTGATTGCATTAGATCAGTAAATCTAGTCATTACCTTGAAAGCAGGAACTCCAAGATAGTTCAGGACATCCAACCATGCATCATTATTGCGACTACACTTCAGGATTTTACCCTCATGGAACAGACAGTCCACAGTAAGCTCAACATTGGGGTTGTTCACCAGTCTCCTGCTGTCAGCTACAACTTGGTCAGTGTTGAAGGTGTGATGCATCACCACCAGAATTGTTGGTTTACCACCTGTAAGCACAGAGATAACACAACCGAATGAGTGAGGAATAAGATGACACTGGAGAAGAGTAGGTGCTACGGATCAGTTTAGCTATGTGTATATTTTTTGATATATTTTTTTTTTCATAATTTATAACTGGAACTATAAATATAACTTAGATTTTAGACTCAAGTTCATTAATATTAAAGAACTTCCGATGTGGTCTTGGGGGGGACTGCTAAAAACAGAGGAATTATGAATCCAGTTAGAACAATTATTTTCATAGCAAAAAAAGGAACTTTTCAACTGATCAAATTTCCCCGTATTGCTTTGATTAATCAGTGTGAAATGAAGCCATTTCCTACCTGGACATTTCACCAGGGCTTCACTGACATCCGTTCCAACTCTTGAAGCAACAGGACAGAAAACCAGAAGGTAGTCACTTTCTTTTGGAGAGTTCACCTCAATAAGGCCAATGCTTTTAAGCTTTGCCACAAACTCCAGATGAGCATCATTAGTTCTTCCTGCCAAGAAGACAAAGAACCTTCCCCCCGACACTAAAGACAGAGAAGAACGTTTGAATCATTAATAAGTTGTCCGACCCAGATGAAGTAAAATATTGGCAAGAAAAGATCTTGAGTGAGTTTCAGCTAAAATTAGAAGTTATTTTACACATCTCCTAACTTCTACTTACATAAGTAAGTTCATCTTAAAAAAATGAAATACATCTTAAAATGTGCTCTGAAGCCAGAAGGTTTTGTGTATTTTTGTGTCAGTAGAGGCGTTAAGTATATGAATGCACACATCTTCAAACCATAGATATCTAGTGTGTTACTTCCTGATTAAAAGCTGCTGCATGAACACTAAAACCACACAAACAATAATGAAAGACTAATTCTGTCCGGAAATGTGGTTGCTGGTTCAAACCAAAAAAGGCAACAATAAATGTAAAAGTAGCAATAGAAAACTAGAAGAACTACTATTGTGCATTGGGGGCGCCTGCCGGTTAGCTCAGTCGGTAGAGCTGCCCTTTGCTGCGTGTCATCCCTTCTCTCTCCATCCACCTTCACTGTCTCCCTACAGCTGTCTATAAATAAAGCCATCAAAAGACCAAAAAAATACCAACCAGTTCTGTGACGCATGGTAGAGAGTGAGCAGCTCGGAGCCTCGCAGGAATTTAAACCTTTTAAGATGTTTTCTCATGAAATAGACTGATAATTCCTTTGCAATGTCTCTGGCATATCTGTTCCACAATCGATAGGAAAATATGTACGGCTCCTCCCTCTGACTGTAGCACTTTCACTTTTGCTTTTGCCAACGACATGCTCTCAAACTGTCCACTAGAGGAAGTGCAGAGATGAGACATGTTTGTGTCAGTGTGTAACAAGAGATCAGATGTGAACACAGCAGGAGGAGGGAGTAACTGTATTTATACAACACTGCTGGTGGAATACACGGCCACTGGCAGATACTATGTGTTTGATTAACATTACAGAAATGTGAGTGTTTCCTTACATATTGGATGGAGGGAGTCTAAGCTTCACCCCCTCTACACAGACACACCAACCAACCAGAAGGAGTCGATGGTGCAGTGATGAGAACGCAACCCCTTGCCAGTTCCTCAGATCCGGTCTTATATTTGGGCATTAGCTTAGTCTGTAGGGACCAGAGGGTTGCCGTCCACCACAGAAAACAGTATGGAGTGTGGATAGTTGGAGAGGTGCCAGTTGTACCTCCTGTGCACTGCAGAGGTGCCCTTGAGCAAGGCACACAGCCCCTAACTGCTTGCAGAGTACCCCTACGTGGCAGGCCATCACTCCACCATCTCTCAACATTTGCATGTCTGTAAGCCCTGCGCATGATCTTCTTCTAGTATTTGGAGGGTCCCTGGTTTGATTCCCTTGCTCCCCCAGTCCAGTTGAAAAATTCTTAGGCCAGATACTGAACCCCAAATTACTCCCATAGCCATCGGTGTGAGAGTGTGTGTATGGAGGAGCTTTGTATCATTGTGACTGTGGAATACATCCATTGACTGCTGAAGCCTCACATTACATAAGTTCAACTTTAAGATCTACAAAATGAAGACTGGATCTTGCCCCTCATTAGTTTCATAAAAAACATTTTTCTATTTCTTTGTGGCCAGTAACAATCAAAACCCTTTTCAACATACATTTGGGCATATCATTACTGTTTTAAGATAGACTTGAAGTGACTTGGATTTCAGTGTTTATTTTGCCTGTATCTGTAGATCTTTTATTCTTCCAGTATTTCCCCCTAAAATATTGATGAACAACTGTCATGAACCTGCTCACAGTTCGTGCAAAACAAGGGAGACCACACAGATAATTAAAGTGTTTAAAGCAAAATATATTTAATTCACCAATAATCATACTAAACAAAGTATAAAAGATATATGTACATCAGTGTTCTCAGTAGTGTAGTGAGTGTGTGTGGATATGGGTGAAGTGTTGTGTATGGAAAAAGGTAAAGGATTAATCAAACAAAAGACAGCAAACAACCCAGCACCTGCTGACTGGTAGGAGAGAGATAACTAACTGATCAACCTCCTATAAAGCCTTGTAATCCGGGAGCAAGCAGGTGTAGCTCTTTGTATAGCCACACCCCTTCCACTCTGTCGCCTGTGAAGAACAAAAGGGAACAATACACAGAACCACCAGAGTGGGAGGGGTCATCACAACAACAATCTGTTATTCTTCCTCCATTTTCTCCTATTGTGCTACAGATATAATATTAATATTAATGATCAGCTCCATAAACATCTCAGCCTTCACAACTATACTACTATAATAATAATCATTCCTGTTTTACACCTGCTTCAGATGGTTACACATGCATAACCAAGCATATTTATTTGTATATATATATATATATTGAATATGTTTTTGTGGTAATCCATTGGATTTTGTCATGCTGTTTCTTCTTATTTATTTTTCTCTTCAAAAGCAATGACCGTGCCAATGATCACCATCTGACCACGATACCAGAAGCTACAAAAGCCATCAGCCTTCAATTGTTCCAGAATCCTACAATAAAGAAGAACAGAGCAATGAGTCATATTACAACCTTAAAATGATTTGGTTCACATATCAGATTAATAATGACATAAATATTCCTTAATGAAAAGATAATGACAGAAAATTCAAGGTTTCTTTACAATCTGAGTTTTATTTTCATACTTTTCACCATCAGTCCTGTCCTATTTATGTTTTAAACCTGGTTTACACAGCACACTATTTTGGTCCATAATTCTTACATGCTCAGTTGTTGATGGGTAAGTATTTGCAGTGCAGCTTCAAGCTTCAAGTTGTCATGCTTTGTGTTATTGTCCCTCCCCTGATGCTCTTTAAGAAAATACGAATTGGAAAGTTTTGTTCTAAAAAGACTTTTGGAAAAGTCCCATTAAGAAGGTATCACTTCACAGCCAGTACGTACAGACCAACAACTATTTAAATATACATAGTACCATAGACCATAGTTTCACCTACACACACACACACAAACCTACTTGGTTGCAATCTGCAACTTCACCACTAGATATCACTAAATAACAACATCAGAGCACTCCACAGTGATTGTGTCATTGTATTAGATCAGTAAATCTAGTATTTACCTGTGAAGGGGAACCTTCCAAAAACTTCTGCATATCGAACTGTGCAACATCAATAAACATCAGGAGTTTGTCTTCCTGGAACAGACAGTCCACAGTGTGGTAGACGTTCGGGTTGTTCACCAGTCTTCTGCTCTCAGCTACAACTTGGTCAGGGTTGAAGGTGTGATGCATCACCACCAGAATTGTTGGTTTCCCACCTGTAAGCACAGAGATAACACAACCAAATGTTTTTTAATCTTTTTTTGATGCACCTTTTTACATACATATAAACTACACTGTAGATTGTATTTCTTGCCATAGTATTTTCTATTTAATGATTTAGAGGGGTTCTAAGTAAGTAAGTAATTCAAAGCAGTATTGATACTAAAAATAAATAAATTAAAATCTTGTTGGCAAACAACTGCCTATTCATCAAAAACTCCCCGATATTCCTCTTTGACCAATCAATGTGAAATTGGGCAAACAATGACTAAAAGATTTTCCTACCTGGAAGTTTCTCCAGAGCCTCGCTGATGTTCGCTTCAACTTGTGACGTGACAGGACAGAAAACCAGAAGGTAGTCACTTTCTCCAGAAGACTCCACCTCAGTTTGGCCGATGCCTTTAAGTTTGGGGCCCTTCCAAGAACTTTTCAAAGGACACTGAAGACAGAGAAGAATGTTTCATCATTGAGCTTTTATATAGTTTTGTGGGACAGGGGTAAGTAAGAAAATAAAACTGCTGATTCATTCTCTCAAAGTCTAATCTAAATTGTTTCCTCTCCTGTGTTTATGTTGTCAGATTAATGATAAAGAAAAAAGTTTTACCAGGAGAGAAAAAAGGCTTTTCTAAAGCAAACTAAAAGCAAATATTAACAAATACTAGTAATAAGGAATACGTGCAATTCTAGCCAAACAGAAGACATAACAGCAATGCTACATAACTTGGTAGTGGTGCACTTCAGCCTCTTGTGGCCAAAATTAGTATTACAATAATACATTTTTTCACCCAAATGAACCTGGCAAAAGCTTTTTACACCTGTTGCACAGGTAATAAAAAAATAGGTGATGAAGTGGAAAAAGCTTATTTTTTTGTCATAAACAGGAGAGAAATAACAGTTTAGATGAGACTTCGTTGCACCCAATTTTCCCTCAGAGCCTCTGCACATATCATCAGACCCATATGAAGGAGAATCATGTTTAAAAAAGATCTTGAGCATTAAATAGAAAAGGTATTTTCCACAACTGTACTACTTTAGTTAATAAGTTCAACTTAAAATTTTACTATGTGTGGAATTTTAAATTCAATTATAGCATCTTAAAATGTATTTTTGTGTAAGTGGAGGTGTTCAATATATGAATGAACACTTCTTGAAATTACAGATAAAGCCACAGAAACAAACATGAAGCACAAGAGCTACCAGGGGTGCGGCCTCAATTAAATATGATTATGCCACACCTTGAAGGCATCAAGACTTCTGAACGCCTATTTTTATTTTTTGTACAAACCTGATCTGATATGTTGGGGTGCCTCCCCTCACCTCTTTTATTTGTCTTTTACTCTAATGTGTGCCAATGCCAATATTTGAGATGTCATATTATCAAGATCCACAACAATTCTGTCATCACGTCTCCTCTCAGTAGTGATGACCCTGATCGTGGCTCTGTAGTGAATTTGTGGACTACTATTTTGCTTAGTCAAGCTTGAGACATAAATGTGTCCAGAATGAGAGAAATTACAGGACAAATCCTACAGTTATCTCCCTCGTGGTGGATGCTGTGTGGTTTATTGTTTGTTTGTTGTTGTCTGTGTATGTGTTTATGTAGTTACTGCTGGCTTTGCCCTCAGTTAAATTCAGTCAGCCATTTATAATATAATATTAGTAATAGCAGCTTTAAATGTTATATTGTAATGACTAAGTGTAGTTTATTTTATTTAACACTGAAATTTTGCAGTCTTGACTCAACAAAATATGTCTTCAATTTATAAAAACAGTACATTTGTTTTCTCACCAGTTGCCTTTTCCTGGTCCTTGATTCTGATAAAGAAAAAGAGAGGAACCTTTAGTAAACCTTTAGTGTGTGTATGTGGGGAGGGGGGGACTTGTGATGACAAAATGTATATTGTAAATCATAAGTAACAAGAAGGAAAAGTGACAACATACCCAGATCCCATGCGCACGATGATCAACAGTCCCACCAGTATACATAAGAGAACAAGAAGAAGCTTCCAATGGTCCCTCAGCACTAAAATAAAAAAAAACAAGCAATGAGTCATCTGGAATCATTTACTACTAATAATACCAATTTCATTATTCCTTCATGCAAAATAAACTAAAGAAATATCTTTAAAATCTTTGATTTATTTTCCTAGTTTTGTCCATAAGTTTATTTTTCAAACCTGGAGGACACAACACCAGTAGACACAATGTGACACTGATTTCCATCCTTTGGTCCCATAAAATTCTGAATTATTCAGGCTGTGCTCTGGTATGCTTCTATGACCATTTATAACTAACAATTAGGACGTGAGATATGCCAATATTATTCAGGTTAATTTCTTTGGACAGCCTGTTTCCCATCAACTCTGTGTGTTGTAAACAAACCAACAAGCCAACAGTTTACAAGGCTGCTACACACCTACTATTAAACATTATGAAAGACTGGTTCGACGGGTTGAAGGCCGACTGTATCCAATCAAGAAGATATAGGCTACATTTTAATGTACATATGGCCACATGAGTGCTGATCTGAAGTTCATGATTACAGTCACACTTACAATTGTACAATTTTTTTATGTATTTTTGCTGGATAGAGTCCTCCTAAAAGAAAGAAAGAAAGAAAGAAACAAACAAACAAATTAATAATTATGTGCATCATTTCAGAGGTGGACTGCAGTATTGATTCCTTATCCCTTAAAATCATAATATCAGTGCGCTCAGCATTGATTGTGTGTAAATCTGATTGCATTAGATCAGTAAATCTAGTCATTACCTTGAAAGCAGAAACTCCAAGATAGTTCAGGACATCCAACCATGCATCATTATTGCAACTACACTTCAGGATTCTACCCTCATGGAACAGACAGTCCACAGTAAGCTCAACATTGGGGTTGTCCACCAGTCTTCTGCTGTCAGCTACAACTTGGTCAGGGTTGAAGGTGTGATGCATCACCACCAGAATTGTTGGTTTACCACCTGTAAGCACAGAGATAACACAACCGAATGAGTGAGGAATAAGATGACACTGGAGAAGAGTAGGTGCTACTGGTTGTTTGGATCAGTTTAGCTATGTGTATATTTTTTGATTAATTAATTACATTTTGAAATGAGCTGCTTTAAAAAATGTTGAGTGCATGTCCGTCGTTCACTCCTGTGGGAGTTTCGTAGAGTCCTAGAACTAAACCATACTTAACCATACTCCCAAACCATACTGCAAAATGATGATCACCAGGATTTATAACTGGAACTATAAATATAACTTAGATTTTAGACTCAAGTTCATTAATATCAAAGAACTTCCGATGTGGTCTTGGGGGAACTGCTAAAAACAGAGGAATTATGAATCCAGTTAGAACAATTATTTTCATTGGTCAAATTTCCCTGTATCCCTTTGATTAATCAGTGTGAAATGAGGCCATTTCCTACCTGGAAGATTCTCCAGGGCCTCACTGACGTCCGTTCCAACTCTTGAAATGATAGGACAGAAAGCCAGAAGGTAGTTACTTTCTTCTGGAGAGTTCACCTCAGTATGGCCGATTTCTTTAAGCATTGCCACAAAGTCTCGATAAGCCCCATAAGTATTTCCCGCCAAGCTGACAAAGAACCTTCCCCCCGACACTAAAGACAGAGAAGAACGTTTGAATCATTAATAAGTTGTCAGACCCAGATGAAGGAAAATATTGCCAAGAAAAGATCTTGTGTGAGTTTCAGTTCAAGTTATTTTACACATCCCCTAACTTCTACTTACATAAGTAAGTTTATCTTAAAAAAATAAAATACATCTTAAAATGTGCTCTGAAGCCAGAAGGTTTTGTGTATGTTTGTGTCAGTAGAGGTGTTCAGTATATGAATGCACACATCTTCAAACCATAGATATGTAGTGTGTTACTTCCTGGTTAAAAGCTGCTGCATGAACACTAAAGCCACACAAACAATAATGAAAGACTAATCTGTCCGGAAAGGTGGTTGCTGGTTCACTTCTGAGCTGCTGACTCAATTCAGGTGACTTTGTTTGTCTGTTTGGTTTGTTTAGGCTGAGGGCTGTAAATCAAATGATTTTAGCATGAAAGAGCCAACATAACTGTTCCTGCAGAGCTGCCAACTCTCACGCTTTTGCCTGTTTTCACACGCACTCACGCCACACATCCAATTCCTCACGCAAAAAGTAAACAGGGACTCGTCAAGCACTAGGACCAAGCGGAAAACGGCCGCTCAAGCTGAAGCCTGTTTCCCTTAGTTTAGACCCGCCCACAAGCTCCTCGATCGGCTCTGCCGTTTCTTGTGTGATTGGCCGTCCCCGCTGTCACTCCATCTTGCTCGCACACCGGTCTGCTGGAGTTGCCCAGGTAACATCAGAGGTTTCATTTACATTCACGTTTGAATCGGTGTCCATGTGTGTATGTGCGTGCGTGCGTGTGTGTGTCTAGAATCTTTTTTCTATATTTACATTTACATGCTTTACAAGCAGTCAAACCACAAAAGGAACTGTAAACGTAAAAGTAGCAATAGAAAAGTAGAAGAACTACTATGGTGTACTGGGGGCGCCCGCTGGTTAGCTCAGTCGGTAGAGCTGGCGACCCATATACGGAGTTGTTGCAGCTTATCAGCAGCTTTGGGCCTCTCTGATATCTGAGCCACCAACTTGTGTGGCTGCGTGCGCGGTATAATTTTGGTCACCCCCGACAAAATCTCACTCCAAGGTTTTTTGAAAAGTTGGTAGCTATATGCCTGTCTGTAGTTTGGTGCTGGGCATCTAATATACAGGGTTGTCAGAGCTGTTGCTGTGGCTGAAAACTTTATGAGAGGTGTGACAGTGAACTAAAATAGTAAAGTTGATGGCCAGAAAGCCAAAACAAGTAGCTGACAGACACAGAAACTGAAAGTGAGTTGATGATTCTCTGCAGGTTCATCACTACCAGCAACCCCTTTCACATTA